TGGAAGGAAGGAGGGAACCAGGCATTTACACATAACCTCCTACCTTCCAGGCACAATTATTATTTCATTCGATCCTCAAAACATCCCTGGCTGGTAGATGTCATTATTAACACCCATTTTACAGATCAGCAAACTGAGGCAGACAGAGGTTAAGTGACATGCCCGGGGTCACAAGTCAGTAAATGTCTGAGGTCGGATTTGAACTCAGGTCTTCCTGATTCCAAGTCCAGCGCTCTGAGCACTGTGGTGCCCCCCAGATGCTGTCTGGGGTCCCTGCTTTAGGCTCGCTCTCCTCCAGCTCCGGAGCTCCTCCCAAGGCCCTCCCTTCATATCCATCCCGTTCCTCCCACGTGCTCCAAGGACCGACAAGGATGGACCTGCCTAGCCCCGTGGCGGCTCGGCCCCGGGTGCTGGGAGACATGGCAGCGCTGAGGGAGGGCTGTGGGCTCAGCTCCAGTCGTGTGCTCGGAGGCTCAAGGACCCCTGGGGCCGCTGAGCTCCCGCTGGCGGGACCTGAGGGTCACCGAGGCCAATGCCCTCGCGGGGAGGAGAAGGGACGTGCCAATGGACACACAGGTGATGCGGGTCCGAGGCAGAATTTGAACCCAGTTCTTTCCCGCTCCAAGTCCAGCACTGGGAAAGGAAGCTCGGGTCAGTTAAACCCAATAGACGCAATATGCAGGTGTTCAGACACTCGTGTGCACGGTTCTGGGTGTGCGCTGGGGGAGGGGCGCACAGTCGGAGAAGACATCGCCCCGCCCCCCAGCTCACCAGCCAATAGGAGACCAGATACTGCCACAGACCACTGATAAAGGCGGAGTGGACTCGAGCCAGGGCACTGGGAGGCGAAGGCTGCTTGGAGGAGGTGCTTCTGGAGGCGCCCTTGGAAGGATGGGCGGCATTCCACCAGGGGAAAGGTAAGGTTGGGGGATGGCAATCTAGGAGAGAGAGAATACGAGGGACCCGGAGGCAGGGATGGCCACGTGTGGGGAGGATGGAGGCCTTGGAGATCTCAGCAGGACAGACCAAGATAAGGAGGACACCGAAGGAGGTTTGTCCTTCACCAGATTCGTCAGCAGGCAGTCAGCCTAGGTAAGCACCTAGGTAAGGCCTCTCGTGTGCCCTGCCCTCAAGGTACTTACTGTCTAAGGAGGAAACACACTTGAGGCCCAGGAGAGTGAGGAGAGGCCAGGCCTGGAGGGTCTGGACACCTGGAGCGAGGGGAGCTCCCCGGGCAGACCTAAAGAGACTTCTCCAGGCAGGTGGTGCCTCAGACTCAAGGAGATGGAGACAGGGTAGAGCTGGCCAGGGGGATGGGGAAGCAAAGGAAGGAGCAGGCCTGATAAGAGACCAAAAAGGCTAGAGCAGTCTGCTGTCCGCATGCGTGTGGGCCGTCTCACCCGGCTCCCTTGGGGAGCAGCAGGAGGGTGAGACCATTGTGGCTCCTCGGGCAGTCTGGGGGCTGATGTGCAGGGCCTTGAAGGACAGGGTCAGGAGCCAGCCGAGGTTTGGGAGTAGAGGAAGGCCCTGGGCATATGAATGGGATGTCTCTGGCAGCTGACTGAAGGGTTGATCTGAGAGATGGGGAAGTCAGGGAGCCATGGCAATCATCTAGGTGAGAGGGGAGGGGGGCCTCCAGGCCCTTGGATCATGAGCACAGTCACTGCTTGTGAGAAAGGTCTGGCAACTGAATGGGGTGTTTCAGGTGCGGAGAGAAGAGACCGAGAGGTCCTTGCCTGAAGCTTACCCTCATCTACCTGGAGTGGTGGAGTGCCTTCAAGTAGGGAAGGGAAGGAAAGAGGTGAGCTTGGGGATCATTAACATCGGGCCTCTGCCAACAGATCTGGCCTCCACTGGGCTGCAGAGGATGTGACTGACCCCTCAGGCCTTGCCTGAGTATTCTCACTGGGTTGTCCCCATGAAGGGCGGGCTACCTGAGCATCCTCTTCCCTTCTACTGGATCTAGTGAAGGTTTCCAGCCATTTCTGGACCTCTCCCCATTGCTTGTCTCTTGGCAGTATGTGCCTCAACACTGAGAAGAGTTCTCCACCCTGGCAGCATGTACCCAGCCCCATTAGCCAAGGCAGCTCAGTGCCCCAGTAGCCATTCTCAGTCACCTTTGGCAAGAGTCCATCCAGATTCCTTAGTGCCCCTTCTCTGGCCTTGGATACAGCCTCACTTGAGAGGCAGGGCAGATAACAAACCAGCAGCCAGGAGAGCAGTACTACTGCTGTGTCCCTTAAGCGGCCATGCTTACTACCCCTGGGTGGGGGCTCAGTTTCCTCATATGTAAAATTACAAGATTCACCCCAGCAGGTTGGGGTGGGGCATCTCTCCCAGTGCTTGAATTCTCTGTTCTAAGGCTTAGGTTTTGTTCTACCTCTTAGGATTTGTGACCATCAAAGGTGTGCTTTCATTGACAGCCTCTTAGGCAAGGTGGGAGAGTACTGAGTTTTAGGGAGAAAATCCTTTTTTTTTTTTTTTGGCAGAAGAGGCCTTACCTAGGACCCAGGCTGAATGACAATCGATTCTATGGCCTTGCTTCCCCAGGAGTGTTCATGGGGCCTTAGGAGCAATCAGTCAATAGATAAGCATTTATTGAGCACCTACTTTGTGCCAGGTACTATGCTAAGCACCGGGAGAGACAAAAGATAGTCCCTGCCTTCAAGGAACTCACAATCTAATGGAGTAGAAAAATACATACACACACATATATATATGTGTTTATATATATATATATATATATATATATATATATATACACAAGTACATATATATGCAAATAAATATGTATGAATAAGTGATATGTAGGATAAACTGGAAAATAATGAACAGAGGTAAAGCAGCAGAAGTAAGAGGGATTTTAACTAGGATATTTGACCTGTTGCAGAGCTGAAATCAACAAGAGATGCTGCAGAGGTGAAATTGACAAGAGATGTTGACATGGGCTGGAGATGGTGAAATCGATAGGCCTTGCCACCATATTGGATGGGGGTGTGTGTGTGTGAAATAGTGAGGAGTCCAGGAAGACCCCTAGTTTGGGAGCCTGGGACTGGGAAGATGGTGGTACTCTTGATGGTAATAGGGAGGTTTGGTGGCAAATGATTTTGAGAAAAAGATGAGTTCAGAGCAGCTTCCTGTCCTGTTCAAACTCCTAGTGGCCCAAACAGTCCCGTTTCCTTGGTTCCGGATGGGTGAGTAGTGACTTTCTGAGTGCCCTTGACTCCAAGGTTTTATCCAGAATGGGCATCAATGGCCAGAGCGTTGGCTGCTTGACAGCAGGGGTCTCACCCTAGAGGACCCCTCCCCAGCACTCCCAGCTGCTTAGTTGCTGTCATTGTCTGCCCAAGGGTTTGGTTCCCTGATTATGATGTACAGAAATTAGTGGCCACCCTGGTAATCGGCCCATGCCCAGCCAGGCCTGCCTCCTCATCCACTGGCCGAAGCTTCCTCTCCCACATGCAGGCTTCAGCAGGGCCCATGCCTGTGGCCTCTTGGATGTTTCATGAAGGGCTTGCTCATGAGTTTGTGAGAATTCTCCTGCGTTCCTGGGGTCTGTGCCAGAGACCAACTGGTGTTTAGAATGGGCTGATCTGGTCCCTGCCCGAACAGTGACCCTCCAGGTGAAGGAGAAGTCCAGCGGAATTTCTGCCAGTGCACCTCTTCTCCTTGCTTTTATGAGCCGGGCAGTTTTATTTGTTTGTGAGTGTTGGAGTGGCCCTCCCACCAGGGATTCCAGTGTGCCGAGGGGAGTGCTGACCCTTTAATGGGAAACAGCAGGGAAGGAGGTGAGCTAAGAGGTAGGCTCCGGCTCTGCCCATTCGTCTTTGGTTATTGGACACTTTTAGAGAGAACATCTGTCCGTCTGCTCACTCCCCTCAGTGCAGGCACCGTTGGAGGGCTGGCTTAGGCTGCTTCCCGACAGAACCATCAATCAGAGATTGCGGAATGACCCAAGGACAGATGTCAGCGTGGCTACAGGGGCATCGATGACAGCAGGCTGCCCCATAATTAATGGGGCGCAACCTGCCCCAAGGGATGCCAGTGATTCTTTCAGGTTAATGGCCTCCCAAAGCAGGAAGGGACTTAGAAATTGAGGAGCCCTGTCCCTTGAGATACTGCAAGATTATCCTTTACTGTTGGTGTTTGATTGCCCAGGCCATGGGAGGTGAGAACTGAGAGCTAGACCTCCCATGACAGGTCAGTGAAAACCAGAGATCACAGCCCAGAGAAGGTCCCAAAGGGGCCAATGCCTAGGTTTCCTCCCTCATCCACTCTTCCTTTCTCTTTGGTTTTAAACTCTAGCCTCTCATAGAGGGAAAAATTGTGTTTAAAGGAGGGCACACCTGTCCCTGAACTCAGAAGTTTCTTGGGGAGGGATGTGTAGACAAATATTGGCTCACTTTGGGAACTCGTGGATAAGGGCCATACAGGGGGAAACGCTGGGTTCCTGGTTAAGGTCTAGGTTGGAACAGATAATTGTTGAAGGCCCTGTGGCCTCAGTGGAGATAACAATAAGGCCTAAGGGTGAAGGAGACTTTATAAAATGCTTTCTCTTCCGGGGGGGGGGGATGAGACACTATACTGACATTATTAAGTTGGGCGCCCTGGGTTCTAGTCTGGGTTCCGGCTCTGGACAAGGGTTTTCCTCTTACCTAGGGGCTCCAATTTTTTTTTATCTGGGAAAAAGAGGGAGAATACTAGAGGGTCTCTGTGGTCATCTCCAGTTCTGACTTAGAAGTTGGTGCCAAACTCCCATGAATAGAGCAGCTTCTGGAGTTGGGAGGCTGACATGGGGGAAGGGGGTTTAGAGGGAGAGCTTCTAGCATTGCTGCTGTCCTTGACACCCTGGAGAGCCACCCCTGGCAGGGGCCACAGGCAGGAATCTTTCTGCAGCCGAGGTCAGAGCGTGTTACTCTCTTGCTCAAAATGTGTTGGTGCTCCCTAATGCCTCTCCAGGAGAGAGATCTCGGTAGTTTATGAGAGACTGGGCACTCAGCTTAAGAAGATGTAATAAACGATTCATTTATTTGTATTTTCCAAGTCCAGCAAAATAACTCAGATCATAATTTTCATTCTCCCTCCCCCTCTTACAAAGCCATATTTCCACCAAGTTCAGACACCCTGATTATCAGCACCTGTAACCATTCCAATTCCGTACCCTTCAATTTTACGCCCTTGGATGAAGAGAGTTGTTTGGAAGGGGGAGGCTCACAGACTCCAAGCTCTCCCAGGGTGAGTGGCTCCATCTTTGAATGCACTATGAGAACACGACTTGTTTCTTCATCTACTCAGCAATCAGCTGCCCAGTGAGTCAGCTGTTGGCAAGGGGCCGATCAGTGACTCTCTCCAGGTCTTCCTTCTTTTTGGAGCTGTCTCGCGTACATCCTTGGAAGTTTTCCTTAAGTACATCGCCCTTTAGTTTGTGAATTAGTGCTAGTGAAAATGGTAGGGCACCATGATCGTCAGCTGCCCCGGATGGACTTGAACGTAGGTGTTCAGCCTGCTGGCTGTCACCCCCTGAAGGCTGTGCAGGAGCTCTGCCACATACTTGAGGAGCGCGTGGCAGCCTCGGACAGAAAGGCTGATGAGCCTCACAGCCTTGTCAGTGGCCCACTGGAGAGCCTGAGAGAGCCCGTCAGAGGTGCCTTGCAGCTGGACCAGGAGCTGCTCGCGATGTTCGGCCGCCTTCCTCTTGGCTGCTGCGGCCCACTGGCTGATCCTTTCCTGGGCCGCCATCGAGGCCTCATGGAGCCTTTCTTTTCCGTCAGCATCGCGGAGGAGGTCGAGGTACTTCTGGACATCTGTGTGGGAGAGCTTTTCCACTTCATCTGTCAGTTTGGCAGCCTGGGTGAGAAAGCTCTCAAAGGTTTTAGAGTAGAAATCCTTCAGGGCATCAATGATTTTTCCGGCCAAATTGATTAACTTGTCTTCGATTTCATAGTATTTCACTGTCCATCCAATGATGTTTGGATCGAAATATTCTTCCCGAAGAGTCTTGACGTAGTCATGGAACTGGCTGAGTTTTCTAGAAATTTCTTGAAACTGGGTCAGAAGAAATGAATTCAGATTCCTGAGATTTTCTCTCAGGTACATAAGTACCCTTGGGGTGAGATTGGAAAGGAGGCCAACCATGTCCAGGAATTCATTTTTGAGAGAAGCAAATGTCTTCTCCTTTACAATTGTAATGCTTTCTTCTACCTGTTGGAAAACGTGGTCAGTGAATGACTGCAGAGAAATCAGAATGTCTGAAAATTTGGCTGACGGAAGCCGGTTGAGTCTGCGTTGAACATTCTCGGAAAAACCCTCCAGACTCTCTCTAAGCTCCACAAGCCGCTTTTGGAGGTCCAGGAAGGCTGCCTTCTCATCCAGGTCCTTGACGTAGGAAATCAGTGCCTCTACGGCTCGATGGACTGTGGAGTAAGCCCGGGACAAGGCCCTCCCAGCCTCGCGCAGGACCACGGAGCAGAGCTCATCTCCCGTGTACCCATCGGCCTGCCCCGGCAGCTGGAAGCGATTGACCTTCAGCAGCTCAGCGCCAGAGTCCAGCAGCAGCAGGGTTTTCTTGTGATATTCTTGTGTGAGCCCCAGGGCCCTGTCGAAGGCCTTGTTCTTGAGGTCCCAGAAGTCGGCCTGCTCCTCCCAGTAGAGGCGCTGGGCGCTCTCCTCCCACTGCTGGACGGCCCCACGCAGCCCCGAGTCTGCCTCGTCTATCCGGTTCAGGGCCCGGCCGTAAGCTTCGTCGGCTCTCTTCTGGAGGAGTCTCCACAGCTTGCCGGAGGCGCTGCCAATGTCCAGGCCGGTCTGCTCCTGGTGACACTTGTCCACATAGCGGTAGAGAGTCTCTGCTGCATGGGGCAAGGTGGCTCTCAGGGTCTGCACCAACTCAGAGGCCGTCTCCTCATTCCAGTTCATGCTGAGCTGAAGGGCCCCAGGGTCCGGCTCTGACAGCACCATCTCCACCAGGTCCAGCTTCCTTTCAGGAGAGACCTGAGTAGAACAAAAAGGCAAGGGAAGGGGCTCCTATTAACCAGACTGGCAATCGTATTTCTGGCATTTCATTGTGGCTTCTGTTGGCATTTGCATGTGTCTCAATTGTTTTTCAGACAATTCCGTCTCCCTCATTCCTCTTCATTATGGCCATCATTTATACTCTTCATCTAGAAATCACAAGTTGCTGATGCAGAGGGGCCCTCATCACCTCCTGCCCTGCCCCCTCCTCTCCTCTGACCCCACCCCATCCCTGGTGCAGACCCTCCTCTTCTCCTGCCCAGCTCCCTCCTCTTCTGTGACCCTGCCCCCACCCTGGTGCAGGCCCTCATCACCTCATACCTGGACCATGGCAGTAGCTGCTGGGGGGGTCTGCCTGCCTTGGGTCCCTCCCCCCTCCAGTCTATCCTCCATTCACCATCAAAGGGATTTTCTAAGGTACAAGCCTGACCACATCACCCTACTCTTCATTGAGTCCCAGTGGCTCCCTCTGGCCTCCTGGAACAGACAAAAACCTCTGCTTGGCTTTGAACCCCCTTCACCACCTGCCCCTTCCCCTCTTTCCCAGCTTCTTCCCTTTGGCTTCCCAACATCTCTACGATCCTGGGCTGCCTCCCATGTGAGGCCCCGTCTCCCTTCCCTGGCCCTCTCCTTCCTTACCTCCACTCCCCAGAATTCCCAACTCCTTCTGGAGTCACCACAAACAGCCCGTGGCCGGCAGCCCTTCCTGGCCTCCACAGTTGCCAGCGTCCTCCCTCTCAAAATGATTTTTTATTTATACTGTGTGTACTTATCTAGGGACCTAAATGGAAAGTAAGCCCTATTTCCTTCTCTGTTTTTCTATCTCTGGCCCCTGCCCAATGCCTGGAACATAACAGGTACACAATGAATGCAGGGTGATGGGTTGCCGGATGGATTTGAAGCCTGGACCACTCTGAGAACTTGGCTGTTAATTTCCTCCCCAAACTCTCCTGTGCAAAGAAGGACACAGATGCAGCTGAGGCGGCAGACGCTCGAGTTCATTCATCTGGCCTGGCACCTCCTGGGATGAATGAGGCAGCATGATTCTGCCAGGACCCCACAGTAAGTCAGTCACCAACATGGGATGGAAGCTCAGCCCCTGACTCTCCATCCCGCCTCATTTCCCGTGACAGGCCTGGCACACTTTTTCTCTGCTGGGAGAGACAGCATTGGGGACCAGCCAAAGGCACCAGAGGAGGGGATGACAGAGAGGAGGGACAAGCACACCCACCCTGGGTCACTGGAGCCGAGACCCAGACCAGGGAGGGGCCCTTCCCCCCTTCCATTTGGGGCTTTTCTAAATAGAGGGAGGGACAAAGGACAGCTGGAAAAGGAGGGGGAAGGGGGGGAGGAGGGAGCAGACAGAGGGGGGAAAGGGGAGTGGCTCAGAAAGGAGAAGGCCCCATCCTGCCTAGGTTCTGATAAACTTCAGAAAGCAACTGGTGACCAAGGGTCCAAGGACCTCTTTTCAGCCAGTTCTTCCTGGCCCTGTTTGGCAAGGGTGAGGGTGTCACGGCAAGAGTCAGGGGCGAGACTCAGAGGCCCTGGGTTCCAATCCCAAAGTGTTCCTTTACTAGCTACGAAACCTTAGCTCCTTTCCTGCTGGGCCTTGGTTTTCTCTTAAGTGAAACTGGGAAAGAATGAGCCGGACTGATGACCTCTGGCACCATCTCCTCCTTTCCATTCAGGTCAGAAATCTGGCAATTCCCTGTTTGCCTCTGTTGGGAATGGGGCTTTGGAGACTGGAGCCCTCTGGGGGGGTGTCCTGCCCCTAGCAGGCTTAGCTGGGGTGGCTCTCCAAGGAGGCATGAAGCCAAGCTGTACTTGGCTTCATCCATAAAATAATGACAAAACAAATCAACCCGCCTCAGTTTCCAGAAAGCAGTTCTTTTGGGCCCCCAGACCCAAAAGCTCCTGGCTCCATGGAACATTTCAGGGGCACACTGCCCACTCCTCGGCTGGGCAGGCTCACTCTGCCTCTGCTCTGCCAAAGGCCCTCACCTGGGGTTGGTAGTACGTCTTTCCTTGGAGAACTTGGGGGCTTCCCTGGAAATCCAGGCCCAGGGTGCCAATGGGTGGAGAGGAGATGGTCAGGGAGAAGTTGTCTCTGTCTTGGTGGTAGTTCATGAGGACGTTGGTGAATGTGGGGCTGGTGACTTTGAAGGTCTTGGTTTCCTCCAAGATTCTGAAAAGTAGTGGTCTGCCCTCAGCCATTGATGGTGTTGAGAGCCAGCCTACGCCCCTCTGTTCTGCCAGGGCTCAGCTCAGCAGCCCCCTCCCTCCAGGACATATATGCAGCTGAGGTGGCTGACGCTCGAGTTCATCTGGCCCAGCACCTCCTGGGATAAATGAGGTGACATGACTCTGCAAGACCCCACTATATGGGGGCCATGCCCCCACCCCCAACCTGGAAGTGCCTGGTATCTCCTTTGGATTGACATTCTGCATGTTCACTGAACGGAATCCCGGCTCCCTCTTCTCCACAAGACGCCATACTTACTTGAGACCTCGAACCCTAAAGCTGTCTTCATACTCAGCGCTCAGTTCCCTGTGGGAAAATGTGCCCGACATCTTCCCCACCAAGACTTTGTCTTCAAAGGCATATGTGGCCCCATCTGTGGGAAAGAGATTGTGTGGGTCGCCAGGTTAGCGAGGGAGACTCCTGAATGTGCAGCAGGTGTAAGAATTCAGCTGGGGGCACCCCATGGCATAGACTGCTGGGCCTGGAGTCAAGACCTGTGTTCAAATCCAGCCTCACATACTTGCTGGCTCTGACCCCCTTCACTTTTGTCTGCCTGCTTCCTCAGCTGTAAAATAAGATTCGTTACCTCCTTCCCAGAGTGCTTGTGAGGTCCAAATGACAAAAGATTTGTGAAGTGCTTTGCAGACTTTGAAGCGCTATGTAAATGGTAGCTATTGATATCATCATTAGTACCACTCTTCTGAATTTCCAACTGGTGAAATGGCCACAATTTGGGAAAAATAAAGGATTGTTTATGAAAAAAAAAACAGCCACGACTTGAATATTTCCAGGCCTGATTTGGGAAATGGTTTGTATGGATTCATTTCTCTCTGGGGAAAACCCTTGTGGGGCTGCCCACTACCATGCCACACTCTGCCTCTGAAGAGGCACCACATGCCCTGAATGAGAGCTATGTCTGAAGTGTCTGCTCAAGAAGCGGTAGCTTCTCTTCAGCAGTTCCTGCCATCAGGGGCGCATGAGCTGCTGCTCTTTGTTTAATAAGCCACGTGGTCCTCCTCAAGTTCAATAAACCTAGGCTTGTGTGTGTGTGTGTGTGTATATATATCATTGCATATATATCTCTATCTATATCGTTGCATTGTAACTAGGCATGGGTGGAGCATGTGGGACAGACACTGCGCAAATCTCCATCACACATAAACATCTAGGAGACATTTATTATTACAAAAACCAACCTGTCCCAAAGGTTTCTTTTGGCTATGTAGTTTTTCAACAGGTTTGTGTCACAGACTTTCTTTAATTCTGGGATGCTGCCACCTGTGTGCACATTTCCTTCCTGGCTCACCCTGTGGGGACCCCTTAGCCCAGAGGAGAGAGAGTTAAACCTTGTCCTTACAGTTGAGATCATACTCCAGCAGCTGCACTGTGCTGCTGCACGTGGCCTCGACTGTTGTCTCCACACGGTCTTCTTTCCTCTTCAGGCTGGCACTCCAGGACGTGTTGTAGACTGGTGACGCTGCTTGGAAGTTTCCAGCCAGTGCTCCAAAGGAAGGCAGGAAGATTCCAGCGGGCAGCCAGAAGGTCAGAGTCGGAATCCTGATGCTCTGCTCAGACATGGTGACGCTTGGCAGGTCAAAGTCTGCAATTTTGTTAGCCCCCTCATTTAGATCCAGGATGGCCCCAGCAAGGGAAAGCTTTTTGGGAAGAGTGAATGGAGACAGTGTTACCTGGAACTCAGGCACAGTCACCCCAAAGAAGGGAAGTGTAGACCCTTCTGATGTAGAGTACTCTGTGGACACTTCCACTCTGGGGAATTTTACTTGGGGCAGCAATGGTAAACTGAGGGCAAATGGTGCCATGCTGGTCTTCTTGGCTAATCTTATGTAGCTACTCTCAAGGCTGGAGGATGGTGTGACCAGAGACTTCAGTTCTGGTCCAGAGATGATGAATTCATCGGCCATTTCTGTCACAGGGATAAAATACTGGTAGCCAGTGTGGTTTTTGGTATAAACAAGGGCGCTGGAAATATGGAGGTACTGTTTCCTGTCGGCATGGGTGGTCACGTCCAGCTTCAACATGTCCCACAGACTGCTGTCATAAACTGGCAGGAGAGTGTCTTTCAGGAAGGACATGTAGCCTTCTAAGGAGCTGGCTATGTCCAGACGGATTTCGGATGGGTCATTAGACAGCTGGATGTTGTGACTGAGGGATGCTGTCTGAATGTGGCCCTCGCCTTTCCAGCTGACCCGCTGATCCTTGAGGCTGGCAGTCAGGGTCACCACCTGGCCAAGGGAGGCCTTCTTGAAGAGAGAGCTGGGCTGGCTGGCTTGCACCTGAATCACAGTGGATGCTGTCCATGGGGCCAACTCTAATGTCACTTTGCTATTCTGCTCCCCACTTGTTGAAAACCCCCTCCTCAGCTGTAAATGGTTTTTCCCGTTGTGTTCCCAGACTGTGTAAATGTGCCCGACAGAAGCTTCCCCAGCAAAGTTTTCCTTCAACTCCATGTTCCAGAAGCCGTCCACTTTGGAGGCCCCTTCGAGCTTCATTGAAGAGCGCATGCTCTTGGTGTCCAAGTAGGAGCTGGCCTCACTGGAGATGGCCCCAGAATACTTTTGGGAAAGGACTGAGCCGCTCATGCTGCCTTTAGTGTCTGTCTCAATGGACAAATAAGGGGCAAAGCTTTCCATGGTGAGCCGGTGGTCTACGGCCCCTTTGGCGCTGCTGTGCAACCGGGCAGAGGTGAAGTCATACTTGAGCTTGATGGCGGAAGAGATGGTGGGCTTGGACTTTGTGTTCCCGGTAAGCTCCTGATGGAAATTTGCTCTCAGGACAGGGCACTGGATTCTGGCCATGGTGGTCACAGAGGCTTCCATGTTCCTCTTGGTCAGGCTGATGGTACTGTCATGATTCCCCTCCACAAATTTGTTAGTCAGGGAGAAAGCAGTGGCTAGTTTCAGGCCCCTTTTCCTGGTCAAACTAGTTGTCCCATCTAACTTATACTGTAAAGCGTCAATGACAGAGAAGGAAGACGACCTGAAATGAGCCACGATATCTGACTGATTGTACAGGCCCACATTTGTGCTCAGTGTGATAACGCTTGACTTGAAGGAAAAATTGTAGGTGAGGTTGCCCACGGCTGGGATCAGGATGTGGTCTGATGGCTGAAGAATCCTGAAGGCTGGGAGGCTGAGCTTTTGGAGGCTTGCAGGCACGTGGAGGACTGGGAACTCAAGGGATGGCAGGACGAGGGTGTAAGATGGCAAGGAGAAGCCAATGCCAGGGATGGTGAAAGGAGGGGTGCTCATCTCCTTGGGCACCATGTAGCCAAATGCTGGCATCTCTGCCACGAATGGAGAGACCTCAATGTTGAGCACGGGGATGTAGTAGCCCGGAATCCTCAACGTTCTAGGGAGCTTGTTGAGGGAGGCTTCCATTTCGTACTTTTCAAACTTGACCTTCGCTTCATTGTATGACTTTGTTAGGAAATCCAGTGTCTTGTTCCTGCCTTTCTCAAAGTGCTGATGGAGAGTGTCGATATTTGGACTGAGGGCATCATAGACCGCTCTGAGGGGGAATGGGATGGAATGGCTGTCTCTGTTCTTTTTGTACTGAGCATTGACACTCAAGTCAAAGGACTGCTTGGTGGTCTTTAGGAAGTCCTTCAAGCCTGTCCTCTCCCACAAGGAGAAGTCTCTCAGCGGGGGAGTCGTGACCATGGTATAAGGTAGAGTCATTTCAGGAATTGTGAGAGGAACATTTAAGAAATCCAGATTGGCTTCCCCGTTAATGCTCACGTGAGCTTCCAGGCTGTTCTCGTTGTTCCCTGCAGAGAAATTCTGGCTGTATCTGTACTGATTGAACCTGGCACCTGATTGCCAGCTGACTTGTTGCATGTCACAGCTCAGGACCAGGGCATAATTGTTGAGGAAATCGATCTTTCCAGTCAGCTTCAGGGGAAAGCTCACCTTCACGTTTCCTTCATTGTTCACTTCTGCACCAACCTCAAACGGCTGCACCACAAGGAACAGAGAGTTTTTCAAGGTTCCGGTAACTCTCCCGTTTAAGTTAGCGTCGTGGGTCCCTCTGAGCTCTGCCTTCATCTCTCCCAGTGTCGCCGAGCCTTGAATGTTCAAAATGCTCTGGCCCACGTCCTGGGACTGAACTTCCGACTGGATTTCAAATTTGGCAAAATTGAGGAGGCCAGATTCAGAGGCCAGTTTTTGGTTCACTTTTATGTGTTTGCTGTTGATGGTATTGGACATGTCCAATGAAGCTACTGGTCCTTGCACAGTGAACCTGAGCAGGGACTCATGCGTGCCCTCATCTGAGAAGTGGGGGAAGGCCCATTTCCATGACCCTGTCCCGGCGGAAGTAACTGCCACGCGCCCCAGAACCAGCAGCATCCTCAGCTCCTGGCCAAGGTCCATCTGGCTTGAGAAGTCTGCTTGGGGAAGGTTCAGTTTGTGAGAGTATTTTGTGTTGCTGTCCAAGGTCACCTGCTTCTCTAGCTTGAGAGACAGGCTGTTACCCAGCTCCATGGTGTTCTTGTCCGTGTGAATGCTGGCCAGAGTATTCACTTTGCCAAGGATGGAGGCTCTCAAAAACACCACCTCGCTGTCATGCTCCGCCTTGAGGTACTTGCTGGATAACTCTAGAGATTCCTTCAAAACCAGCCTTTCCATTTCAGGAGCTGAGAGGTGTGCATCAGCTTGAAAAGTGAAATCCAGGAGGTCCACTGGGGATTGTCCTTCAGCGGTCATGGAGGCCAAAATCTCTGGGCTCCTTTCTGAGGTCGTTGTGTTCTCAATGAACCCACTGGCATTCAGGGTGAAAAAGGGAGATGTGATTTTTAAAGCAGCGGATACTTTGCCAAAGGTTGGGATGACGACTGTGTGGGGGATATGGGGGAGTTGAAATTCTGGGATCTGAATATCAGGAACCTGAAATTCATTTAGGCTGAGCTTTGGAATCACAATTTCTGGGATGGTCACCTCTGGGAGATGGAAGTCTGGTAAGGTGAGTGCGGCGAGAAGTGTATCTTTCACCTTCAAATCCTGCAAAGAGATTTCTGGCAAGGGCCACCGGAATTCACTGGACATGAGCTGGTCAATGGTCCTAATGATCTTGAGTTTGATTTCTATGAGGTCAATTGTAAAGGAAGGAACCATGAAGGTGTTGAGGATGGAAAATTCTGGGGTGGTAAACTGGGATGCAACCCTCATTTCTTTCAATTTCTTTATGTTGATCTGAGTAGAAGGTATCCTTAAGTCTGTCAGGGGAACCATGAAATCAGGAGTCTGGAAGGTGGCTTCTTGTAGAGCTCGGAGACTGACCTCAAAGGCAGGCAGGGTGCCTAGGGCCGTTTTGATCTCAGGGACAGTAAAGCCATGCTCTACCAGCCTTTTCATGCTCTCAGCCCAGTCTTTGACGTGGTACTGCTCAGCAAAGTCAGTTAGCTCTTTGGCGATCAGCATCCACCAGTCCCAGACATAGGTGACAAGGGTGTTGTAAACCTGGCTGATGGTTTGTAGGCCATGATGGATTTCCTTCTGAATGTCCAGTTTGTATAATCGGTCCCGTATGTCTTCGAGGATTTCCTGAAATCTCCCTTTAATGTCAATTACAGAAGCAGAGCTCATGACATCCCAGAACCAGTCGGCAATCACTGTAAGCTGGGTGTCTTTGATCTTGTCCAGGTAGTCGGCAAGCATGGCTCTGACCTCTGTGATGTACAATTTGGTGGCCTCGATTTTCTGTGGAAGCTCCAGAGCCTGGATTTCTTCATTGATATTCTGGATCAGCTCATGGATTGTCTTGTTGGCTTCATCCACAAACTGGTTGTAATCAAAAGACTGCAGCATCTTTACCAAGAGGTCAAGGAATTTGTTCACCTCATCAATAAGTTGCTCAAATTTAGCTGTCTGGGCTTTCTTGATGGCCTTATCAACAAGAGTACGCAGTTTCTCAAAGTAGGCTTTGATTTCCATGTTTTTCAAGGAGTTGGTCAGTTTCTGAGTGGTTTCTCTCAGCTTGTATTGGTTGGCCAGTTGGACTAATTTGTCCAGTAGGACCTGGACCTGTTTGTGTACCTCGTACTTCAGAATGAGCTCATGGATTTTAGCTCGAAAAGCATTGATCTTCTCAGTCACCTCATAATCTTCTAAAAGATTCATGACAATCTCATTGATATACTCAACTATATTGTTTAATTCTTGGATCGGCAATGATGTTCTCAAGAATTCCAAATACACTCTGACATCGATGTCCTCAACTCGCCCTGTCAGCCAATCAGCCCAGTACTGGAAATCAATATTCTGAATCTGCTGGTTCAGCTGCTGCAGCTTCTCAAGGATCTGAGCTTGAAGCCAGACCATGAGGCGGATTTTATTTACATTGATTTTTTCAAGAAATTCATATACATCTTGGATTGATCTCATCACATGATAACGGATTTTATAATTTTCCTCAAAAACTTTTAATTTCTTAATTAGTTCTATAATAGATTCTTTTAATTTATGTAGGTCATAATTATCTTTAATATACTGATCAAATTGTATCAAGTAAGTCTGTAACTGAGATCCGGTTTCATTGAGGCTGACTTTGGCATTAGCCAGTGAAATTTGCAGATCGTCGACTCTTATCTTGTAATTTTCCATAAAAGCGATTAGTTTCTCTTTTGCATTTGTAACTTGTCCTTCCAAATCAAAGTGAACGAGAAGGTCGTTGACCAGGTGTGGGAGCTTATCCAAGGCGGTTCGATACTGCTTCACATAGTGGTCAACGTTGATGCTTTTCAGGTACTGCTGGAAGCTCTGGAGGGTGGCCACAACAGCCCCTCGGACCTTCTCAAAAGAAGCTGGCAGGCTCTCCAGGAATGGAAGGTTGAGCACGTGAACGTTCAAGTTCTTGTCGTACTTGATGCTACCGGTCAAACTGAATTCCTGAGGCTTGTCAGCAGCTGTCCTCAAGTCAAATGCATCGATGATGTTAATGGGATCATTGAACAAAGATGGCAGCTCGATGGGTGAATCGAGCACAGTGAGGTCAGCTGCAGCCCCAGCCCTGAGCTCCACACCTGCTCTTTCCTTGGTGTTGTAGGCCTGGAGGTCATGGTTATACTCATTTTTGTTGGCCAGGGCCTTGAGCTTCCAGGTGCTGGACTGCTCAGCTGGAATGAATAGGGCGTTGACTTTGTGCTCCAGCGTGGTCTCGATGCTCCTCTGGGAACGTAGCTGGTGTCCTGAAGATGCTTTGTAGTCGTGGGAGAATGTGAGTGCCAGAGGCTCCGCTTTCAGCAGGAGTTTGCTGTAGAGCTGACCAGTGTGCGTCCCCCCCAGAACCAGGTGTCCATTACCCGTGGCGTGAGCATCCACGGCCAACATGAACGGCTCCATCATGGCGTGGAAGACGTTGCTGAAACGCAGGGACTCTGAGTTGTAGGCGGTGTTGATGTCAATGGAGGAAGCCAGCCCAGCGAGGTTGGCGCTGAGGCGGTGGGTCAGCTCCGCGCCCCACACCTTGCCCTCGGTGTCCATTTTGTAACTTGCAGACAAGCCGGCGTACGTCAGGGTGTAGATGTGCTTGATCTCCTCGTTCCCATAGGTGCCTTTCATGTTGCCCGCCACACTTAGCTTTAGCGGCTCCAGCCTCAACTTTCCTGTGTTGGCAAGATCCAGGGCACCGTACCTGAGGTTGTTGTTCAAGGTAGCTGAGAGGGAGTAAGGCTGAAGCTGGAGATTGAGGCTCTGTTGATAGAGTTTGTTTTGGCTTAGTACGTTCTCCATTTTTGAGGTGAAATCCAAGGACCACTCAGCAATCACCAGGCTGTTCACATGCTCCAGCTTGGTCTCTTTATAGGCCCCCATCATGTCATTTGACAATGTCAGCCCCTCTTTGTTAATTCTGAAGTTGAAGATGTTTTTGCTGTCCGTGCCAAGAATTGTGGCCTGGTACACGCTTCCCAGGGCCACCTCTGTGAGAGCCACCTTTCCGTCCAGAGTGTATTTGGCACTGTGTTCCTGGTAGCGTGCATTTGTTGTCACCTTCAAGGATGCTCCCAGAGGTCCCAGGCCACCATTCAGCTCATTCTCAAACATCAGCGGAAGGATCTTGAGGTTGGTGGTGGCGCTGGTCGACACACCGTCTTGTCCAATCCTTAGAGTCGCCTTGTGAGCTCCGCTGCTACTTTGATCTGTGCCCAGGAGGTCAGCATTTAATTCAAGGCCACGGGAATTGAGGGACCCTGAGAGCAGGGTGAAGACCTTCAGGGTCTGGAAATCAATCTGGTACTCAGATCTGAGCAGAGCACTCTGCCGCGCCAAGGTCAGGTCCAGCTTGTGGGCAGCCACAAGGTCTGAGTACTTTCCGGTGGTATCTGATTTCAGAGTCAGTTGGTTGTTTTCATATGTCAAGGAAGCCGTGTTTTTTACAGTGCCATCTTGCAGGTTGGAGACAGAGGTGACAGAGAGACTTCCATCCCCGTACCTGCCTGTCACCTGGTTGGTGGCCTGGAAGAAGGAGGAGTCCAGCCTCAGATTGGATTCTCCACTGATCTGGCCTGTGCTGACATCTCTCTGGTAGGACAAGGCATATGTGCTCTTAGTGTGGAAGGAAGAAGCCCGGAGCTGACCATCTGCTTTGATTTCTTTGACATACAAATGAAGCTTCCTTTTTGAATCTAAGTGGACTGAAAAGGACACTTGTGGCCCCAAGCCACTGGAAGCGTCAAATGTTAGGAAGCCTTTGGAAGCTGGATTATTCCCAAATTTTTCTACATGGCTGAGCTTGAAATTTGAATCCAGAAATTTGTGGTGCAGAGATCCATCACAGGATAAAGTAAACGTGTTCCCATAGTCATAAGTTGTTTCTCCGGATCCTAAGAGAAAAGAGAAATGCTACTGGTTAAATAAAGTAAGTACAATCTGACCCAGGGCAGTTAGGTAATGGAGCGGATAGAGCACTGGACCTGGAGTCAGGAAGACCTGAATTCAAATCCAGACTCAGTTACTAGCTAGGTGACACTGGGCCAGTCACTTCACCCTGTTTGCCTCGATTTCCTCATCTATAAAATGAGCTGGAGAAGGAAATGGCAAACCATTCCAGTATGAAATCTGGCCTCAGATACTTACTATCTGTGTGACCTTGGGCAAGTCACTTAACCTTGTTTGCCTCAGTTCCTCAATCTGTAAAGTGAGCTAGAGAAGGAAATGGTGAACCACTCTAGTACTTTTGCCAAGAAAACCCCAAATGGAATCACAAAGAGTCGGACATGACTGAAATGACTAAAAAACGGCAATGAGCAATCTGACCAAAACCTTTGTTAAAACTTTCCAGTAAGGTGGCAGTGCCAGATCAGTCTGCTAGCAGCCTCAATCATACAGGGCCCAACTGCCTGCAAAGATATCATTCAGCAAGGCCTCTGGACTTTGACACCCCACAGCTATCGTAAAGCTCACGCGCTGCATTCCACGGGGAGGGAGGCCAGCAGCCCACATGCCAAAGCCCATCAAATGATCCCTGCATAGCTCCTGATGGCTGCTGATGAAATTAAATGAGGTCAGATGCTTTCCCCGATGACCTTTAATTCTTCTCAGATCATAACAGACAGGAAGAAGTGGTGAAAAGAGTAAAGCTGCAGAGATGCTGCTAAGATCCGTGAAAATGACAGGCAGGAGAGACAGAGGAAGGAGCCGCTATGCCTTCCTCCTTCGCGGCTCTGGAGAGCGTGTGTCACAAAGGGGCAGCACCCACAGTGACTTGTGTCCGGAAGATGACTCCATGCCATCAAAGCAAGATGAAATGATGGCTGTGTGGTACTGATGAAGGAGAGGGAAGCGTGTGGCAGGCTCCATATTCACAAGAAGGGGAAGTCCTCTCCAGAGGCACAGAAGCGAGGCCCTGATCCCAGTTCCAGACCAGCCTTCCCCTCTGGCCAGAACCCTCCCTCCCTAATGAGCTTGTGGAATGACCAGTTGGTGCTTTTTCTGTACACACACATGGCCTTGTTGTCCCTCCATCAGAATGGAAGCCCTTTGGGAGCAAGGACCATTTCCTTCTCTGAACATGCAGCCCAGAGGCCAGCACAGGAACGCACCGGGTAGGTCCACAACAAATGCCTGCTGATTGGTTGAGGGAGGGAGGGAATGCCCAAGCTCTGGCAGGTTCTTCTCTGAGCATGGGCCAGCTGGGAATCAAGCAGTCTGGGGCCACTCCAAGGACCACAGACCAGGCAGGTCCCAGATGGGCCTTGGAGGAAGAAGTCAGGACCCACATGAAAGAAAGCATAGATTTTTTTTATGAAATGTAGTCTGGCTGCTTAAAATGTTAAGCTGTAATTAGCCAGAAAAGTGATGCTCCCCACCACCCTGGGTCAACAAAACTGGGCTTTTCAAACTTCCTCATTAGGGCTGATCCTGGGGGTTTTGGTTTGAACACCTTCCTACTCTGACCCTAACCCAGGCTCTGTCACCTCATCCCTGTGGCCACACCCTTCTGCCAGAGCAGATCCCACCCTGCCCATGTGGTCTCATCCTGCTCTGTTCTTATCCCTGGCTTTTCTGTCAAACCTCTTCTTTTAATGAAAGGGGAGGCTCTAAACATGAAGCTCTTATGTTCCATTGCTCCATCATGAAACTCTCAAAGACCAAGCCCTAAGCTGCTGTCGGCAGCATCAGGGGACAAATCCAAAGCCCACCCTCTTGTAGAGATCCTCCACAGACTGTCCTCATCCTCTGGACTGTCAGATGACGCTCATTGCCTTGATTTGACTGGAAGAATGCCGATGCGATCCTACTGTATCTAGGTCAGACCCTGGGGTGGCCCTGAGGAGAAAGAAGCCCAGGACAAACACAAGGAGAGGACGAGGAGGAAGATAAACCAGGCAGAGCAAGGGGAGCAGCTGTTCATTCTTTCATCCCTTCAGCAAACGTTGAGGATGTGGGCCTGGGCTGGGTGCTGGGTCCCTGTGCTGCCCTCATGGAGCACTAGACCTTGTCGGAGCAAGGCGCCCCCCACCCAAATCTATAACCACCATCTAATACATCCAGGACCACAGCCCAGAAGAGAGGAGGGTGGAAGAAGGCCGGCTCGTTTTCAATAGGGCAGGCCAGCAAAGGCTTCATGGAGGGAGGGTCCCTTGGAGCTGGGCCTTGAGCAGCAGCCAAGAGTTCAGCAGGCAGAGGGGAGGGACAAGGTGGTTCAGGCATCCCGAATAAGGAAAGCAGATGATGAGATGTCAGGTGTGGCTAACGTGGGGCACCCATCATGGTCATTAGGGAGAGGGGGGCCTGGAAAGGGAAGGCACTGGGGTGAAGGGCGCAAGGAATTTGGACACTATTCAGTAGGCACTGGATTGGGTTTGAGTCAAGAAGCCACAGAAAAGCATCAGGACGAGGATGGCCTGCAGAGGGGAAGGTAGGAGGCAGGGAGGCCAGCAAGGAGGCTGTACCTGCAGGAATCAAGAGGAGGAGATGGACATTGCAGGCATTGCTGTGACGGTGGAGACGGGGCCTAGGAACTGGCTGGATTGGGGTGGAGAGGGAGGGGAAGAACCAAGGTGAGGCAGAGGTCCTGACCGGGGGGTAGTGGGAGGGCATCAGGACAAAACGTGGAGTCCTAAGGAGCCTCAGAAAGAAAGGCAGAGCTTGGCGTGGAATGTGGAGAGTCTGAGGTGTCAGAGGCTCAAGACAGAGGTCAGGGCTAGAGATAGAGATTAGAGAATCTGGCGTAGGCAACAACAAAGACCTGGGCTATGAATGACCCTGCCAAGGTGGGGAGTGGACAGAGAGAGAGGAGGGCTGGCCATTCCACACAAAGGGGGATGCCAGAGGATATTCAACTCCAGATCTGTGTCATCTGACCCCCAACCTGCCTGGGGAGGTCACGGTATCTGCCGTCACTCCCCCAGATACACTCCATCCACCTCCTAGCAAAGCCACTTAACTCCTGGGCCTTGGTTTCTTCATCTGTAAGATGGACCTAATAAAATGACCATGTGCTTTACAAGGCTGCCAGGCAGACAGCATTCCCCAGACCTTGGAGCACTACAGGACCATGTGGTTTCTTATCCTCAGACCCCCTCCAGACTGACCGCTCCTCCCAACTACCTGGGAGCTGTTGCTTAGGTCACCTCAACTCCTGGCCTCCTCTCTTCTCTCTACCTAGCTATGCTTTGGGGCCGAACTTGAGCCCAACCTCCTAACCAGCTCTGCCTCCAGGGACCGCCCCCCGCTATGGACACTCCCCAGACGGCCCCTGGCGTGGATGGGTGTGTATACACACTGCCTTTCCCCGGGACATCCCTGATGGGTGGGGACCCCGAGCAGCAGCTGTGTCTCTTCTTTTCTGTGCCTGTGCGTGGCTCTGGTGCCATACCCTGGGAGGGAGGGAGGCAGGAGGAGAGAAGGCCAGGCCGGAGGCCTTGTGCTCTAGGCCATTCAAGTCCACCCCGGCAAGGCGAGGCTGAGGCTGGGGACCGACACCAGGTCCTATTGACGCCTCCTCCCGTCCGCTGCCCCGTCCTCTGCTGTCACAGTGGCCGCCCTCCCTGCCTCCCTTCCTCCCGGCCTCCCGGCCTCTCCAGCTCATCATCCACACGCCCTCCAAAGGGACTGTCCAGAAGCCTAAGGTAGAGGTGGCCCCTGTCACACCTTCAGGAGGAGCCCTCGAGGTTCCCCAGGTACACATCCCTCTGTGCTCAGTACAGGGTCCTCCCCTTCTGGCCTCTTCCTCTTCTCCATCCACACAAGACCCTCCTCCTACCTCTCTGCCTTTGCAGAGGGTGAGTCTTCTAAGCTTGGAATACCCATCCTCCTCATGTCCACCTCTCCCAATATCGAGCTTCCTTCAAGACTTAGGTAAGGGCTCTCTCCTGCCTGAGGCCATCCCGTCCTCTCAGTTGTGACTGTTTCTGCCCCCTCCCAACCCCACAAATATCTTTATATTTCTTCAGTATATAGCATGGACTTATTTCCCTGGGCCTGTTTGTTGTCTATACAATACAAGAGAAGCTTCTTCAAACCCAGAGGCACCATTTCATGTTTGCCTTTGAGACCTCAAGACTGGGCTCAATGGACTAAATGCTTGTTGAAACAATGAATGAATGCATGCGTGCATGGATGGATGGATGAAAGAAGGAAGGATCGCATGGATAGATGAATAGATGGATGGTTGGATAGATGATGGGTGGATGAAGGAAGGAATGAATAGATGGATGAATGTATCGGTAGATGGACAGGTGGATGAAAGGATAGATGGAAGGATGGATAGATGAATGAGTGGATGGGTGAATGGAAGGATGGAAGAATGGAAGAATGGATGGATGAAAGGAAGAATGGCTGGATGAATGGAAGAAAGAATTGATGGATAGATGGATGAATGAATGGAAGGAGGGATCGATATATGAATGAGTGGATGGATGGACAGATGGATAGACTACATGAGGTGAGGTGTGTCTGCTCAGCACCAAGCAAGGCATTGTCTGGAGGAGGAAGCAATCTGTGTGGGTTGCCGTAGGTGAGTGGGAGATGTCCATAGAGAGAGTACATATGTTCATTTTGGAGGGAAGGAAATGTTTGACCTGCCCGGGGGAAGGGTTAATCTAACCCAGCTTGCCAGACATACTCAGCCTCTGATTCAGGGCAGGCCCTGGGAGGCAAAGGTGCGGAATGATGCAGCGTCTGCCTTTGAGAAACTTACGGTCTATGATGAAAACTTACATCACTGCGATATTTAGGTCACATCTACACGGGGACGTGAAGGCTCATCAAAAAGATGGAAAAACTTGGCAAAGAAGCTAAAGCTGGCTTTGATTATTCTATGAAAAATTAGTAAATCTGTGGAAGGAACTGTCCTTCTGAAATGTTTCTATTTTTTCACATCTCTAAAGGGCCTGAAGTCACAAAGACTCATTTACCTGAGTTGAAATCCAGCCTCAGATACTTACTAGCTGTGTGACCCTGGACAAGTCACTTAACCCTGTTTGCCTCAATTTTCTCATCAGTCAATAAGTTGGAGAAGGAAACAGCAAACCACTCCAGTATCAAATCCAGCCTCAGATACTTATTAGCTGTGTGACCCTGAGCAAGTCACCTGCTTGCCTCAGTTTCCTCATCTGTAAAATGAACTGGAGAAGGAAATATCAAACCCCTCCAGTATCTCTGCCAAGAAAACCCCAAAGGGGGTCACGACGAGTCAGACATGACTGACATGACATCCTGCCTAACCAAGGGCCTTAGGTTTGCAACAGGAGCCAGAATCCCGGGCCTGGGCCCATCACCCTCCTATTTCCTGGAGAGTTTGCCTTTTTGCAGCAATGTGGCCTGCAGCCAGTGTCTAGCACAACAAAGCCGGTAGAAGGGGCCTCTGGACGCCTGCCCCGCAGCCCGACTTAGCCTGTGGTCTGCCTCTGGAGTCAGGCGAAGGTCTCTTTCTCATGCCGACCCCAAGCCTCCTCCTCTGCAGGAGATGCACCCCCAGTCCCTTCCAGGAACACTCCCTTGTCAGGGCCCTGGTTCCCCTCCTTGGGCTCCCTGACCAGGCACAGCAGCCAGCCCTCCTCACTCCAGAAGCCACGCTAATCACCCAGTGGCCCCACCACCAATGCCCAGAACGCCCCAGTAAGATGACCCCTGGTGGGGCACTGGCTCACCTTGCAGACTGTAGGAGAAGAGACTGAGGGCTGAGTCGGCTTTCATGTGATACCGGGACTGGAAGCTGACATGCTGGGCCGTGTTGGCTGTGGTGTTTCCACCAGTGTAGGAAGCCGACCAGTTGTAGAGGTTGCTGTAGACGTTGGTGGAGAGTGCCAGGACGCCCAGGAGGGGCACCCGGAGGGTGTAGGACTTGGGGATGGTCAGTGGCGGCAGCCTGAACTCCCTCACCGGCCACTGGAGCCCAATGGCCTGGAGGTCCACAGCCGGCGTCTGGATCACTTGGCTCAGCTGAAGCTGCTCCAGTGACTTCCCAGCAAAAAGCAAAGGAATCTCGACCTCCATGTGATTCTTGTTCAGCGTGTATCTGATCCGGCCGTCACTGTAAACAACCGAACAAGTAAGCAGCGAGGCTGCGATGGAAGGCGCAGACCCAAGGGCCGCAGCCCTAGTCCTGGCTTTGCCACTAACCAACTAACCAGCTAACTAATAATGTGGCTGTAGGTCCATCACTGAACTTTTCCAGCCTCACTTTGCTCATCTGTAGAATGGGGAGAAGAGTCTAGGCACTCCCACGTTCAGGAGACAGTCTTTCCTTCTTCCTCTCGACCCGACAACGCCTGCTTTGTGAGCGGCTTGCTCAGCCATGGTGCCCACCCCTGCAGCTCTGCAGACCCTTTCTCTTCCTCCTTTACCTTTTCAGGAACAGGTTGTCAGGGAGCTGGAACTCTGGCATTTCCCATTCCTGCAGGCTTTGGAGCTTCCTCTGCAGAGTCTCCCCATAAGGAAGGCCCTGGGACGCCTTCTGAAACCACGTGTTGGTTGCCTGGGGGAGGGAAGAGAAGTTTCAGGGCAGGAGGCCTGGGCCATGTTGGACAATCTGGGGAGGGTGTGGAGCGGACTTGGCAGGGGAAGGGGAGGCCCTGGAGTGAGCCCTCAGGCCCCTCAGGAGGAGTGTGCTCTGTGCCCGATTGGAGCCCAACAGGCAGAGCTGGGGCCAGGAATGGCCGATGCAGGAGGTGGGCATCAGGGCCAAGTGGATGTGTGGATGCCCAATGGGAGACGTTTACACAGGTGGTAGTGGGTGAATGCTATGAAAAGCCAAGCCCCATCTCCAATGACCATACTGCCAAGCCCCTCCCCCCCATGGGGGCTGGGCACCACGGCCTCTGAAGAACGCAAGATGAGTCTTGGCCAGAGAGGGCAACAGAGAGGCTCTGGGCTGGGATCCCCTCTCCTTCACTCCAAAGGAGAACAGGAGGAAAGGAGCTCATCAGGGAACAGTATGTCAGGAGAAGGGGATAGGTGGGATTCCTAGTGCCACGGGGGGACATCTAGGGCCCTCTGCTGGTGCCACGTGTCAGGATGAGGAAAGTGAGGCCTCCAGGATACTGGTGTGCTTTGGGGAGGGCGTGGGAGGAAGCACCCAAATCAATGAGGTCACAGGCACGCGGGAGCAGGTGAGTAAATGCCCCAAACCCACTCCTCCGCTGGCCAGAGGCCTTCACTTTGTGATGTCCGGGGACACGAGCCCCGCTGAAGGCTCTGAGCTCTGCAGGATGACAGCTCCAGGAAGACCAGGCACAGAAGGAAGGTCCACCCATCCAGCCTCCCCCGGCCAGACATGTGGGCGTCCCCTCGCCGCCCCTGCCAGGCAGGCTGACGGCCAGTTTGGCTTGTACTCACCGCTATCAATTTGGAGCCGACGTGGCGAATGGTCATGTCCGTGTGGGCGACCTTGCGGTCCAGCCAGTCCTGTGAGTACTGGGGCAAGCTCCCTCCATACCTGGAGACCTCCGTGAGGACTCTGGATGCCAACTTTTTGGTCTCCGTGTTAGTGCCCATATTCCATTCAAATTCAAGCTTCTTCTCATCTGAAAAGGCAGACAGAGTTAGCGGGCGCATTTCCTGGGAGTCCCCAGTGGGCACCGGGGCACCCAGCAGTGCCCTTACCATAACGCCATGCCACTTTCTTGGAGACGGTGGTGCCCAGGGCAGTTGCGGAGCTGTCCATCTGAATCAGAAGCTTCTCGGAGGACCAGTGCACCAGGGTCTCGCTCCTGGCCTCGGCCTGTAGGAGGGGCACCGAGAGCACAACGCCCACTGTGCCCTGCTCCTTCCGGTCACACCTGTGAAGAGCCGAACCAGACCACAGTGCACGTCAGCACAAAGTCCTGTGTGAGTGCCTGGACAAAGAGCAGGGGGCTGGAAACCAGACCTGTCTCAGTTGGGTTTGGGGAATCCAGCAGGAGCTCGGAGTAGAGTGCAGGCAGCAGTAATAATAAAGCTAGCATTTATATGGCGCCTACTATATACCAGGCACAAATATCTCATTAATTCTCACAATCATGTGGGAAGGGAGGAACTGTTATTATCATTTTACAGTTGAAGAAACTGAGGCAAAGAGGTGAAGTGATTCTTCTAGGGTCACCCAGCTAGTAGGAGTCTGAGGCTGGATTTGAACTCAGGTCTTCCTGCCCTGAGCCATCTCGCTGGCTCCCATCTGGGCTGGCAGGGGCAGAGACGCTCCCAGGGTCACCTGATATGTCCGGTAAAGGTGGCTTCCGTGGTCTTCCTGTCCTGGACATCCAAGGTGAGGCTGTAGAACACATTCTCCTCATCTGACTGATCACGGATTCTCAGGCTGGTACTGAGGTCCACCTCCAAGTCCGGCACCTGGAGGTCGCTGGTCAAGGCCATGCGGCTTCGGTGGTATTTGAACGTCAGCGTGGCCTCACTGGGCATTGGTCCTGAAAGAGCATCCACTCCTGACTGCTCTGTCCCATCCCCCGTCAGGCCCAGCTCTGACCTGCCGAGCCTGAGGAAGCTGCAGGGCATTCCTGACCCAACACTGCGGCTGGCTTTAGCTGCGCCCCCCCCCCATCTCTGGGTCTGCCCCCCTCCATGTTTACTTCTCTCTGTGGACACAGGGAAATACTGGCCTTTCTCTGGGCCCTTCTCTTCCTCCACCCTCTGTCCTGCGCCACAATCTCTAGATGAAATATGGCCCCTCCTCTGTTGGGGGGGAGGGCCTAGAGGCAGGAACACGCATGAGCATACACACATACATGCACTCACTCTTGCAATGTATGCATGTACACTCATGCACAGACACACACACACCCATGCACATGCAGGCACTGGCACACTCACACCCAAGCAAAAGTACTTATACGCACATGCACACTAACCCATGCACAGCCACACTCACACCCACGTGTACAGAGGCACACTCATACCCATGCACACTCACAGGCATACTCACACCCAGGCACAATCACAGGCACACTCACACCCAGGCACACTCATGCCTGGGCAAACTCACACCCAGGCACACACACCCATGCACAAGCACACTCACGCCTATTCACACACAGGCACTGGCGCACTTATGCCCGGGCACACTGACACCCAGGCACATTCACACCCAGGTGCACACAAAGGCACACTGACACCTAGGCACATTCACACCCAGGTGCACACAAAGGCACACTGACACCCAGGCACACACACCCAGGCATATTCACACCCAGGCACACTCACACCTAGGCACACTCACACAAACACACTCACACCCATACACACCCAGGCACACTCACACACAAGCATACTCACACCCAGGCACTCACCGAGGTGCACACACACCCAGGCATATTCACACACAGGTGCCCTCACACCCAGGCACACTCACACAAATACACTCACACCCATGAACACATCCAGGCACACACACAGACACACACACCCAGGCACACTCACACAAATACACTCACACCCATGAACACATCCAGGCACACACACAGACACACCCAGGCACACTCACACAAACACACTCTTACCCATGCGTGCACGCGCGCGCGCACACACACACACACCCCCTGAGGGGTGGCACTCACCTTCTGCCTGCACAGCGAACCTCAGTTGATCTACTAAGTCCCTCCCTCCCCCTTGCAGCTCATAATTCACACACGCAGTGTACTCCTCTACTTCCCCTGTAGGCTGGAGCTCCAGTTCAAACCTGAGGAAAGGATGAGGAGCCAGTTACAGCTGCTGCTCAGAGAGCATCACTTCAGGACCTAGGGTGGATTGGCTCCACCCAAGTCCCTGCCATGGGGTTGGGGCAGAGCCCAGGAAATCCTTGGGATCCCAGAGTCAGCAGGGGAGAAGTGGCGGGGGGTGAGGCGCGGGTCACCTCACAGCCCTCTGTAGACCCTACTGTGATGGTCAGGCATCACACCTTTACATGCCTGGAGCCACCTTCCCTTGTGTGGTACAAAGCTGAGGCCCCTCGCCTTTACATCCATCCCCTCTAGAGCTTCCCAGGGACCCCGTGAGAGGCCGGGCTATGGGGGGGAGGGAGGAAGTGAGGCCCAGCAGAGGGGTCCCACCCCCTCCTTTCCCAGGGGAGGAGCCAGGACAGAGAAGAGAAGGGGCCCCCCACCCCCATATACTCATCCTCAGCAGGGCCAGGGATGAAGGCCACCCTTGGAGAAAGGTGGAGCTGGAGTGCCCCATCCCCCCATGAACCAGCTGGGCAGGGGAAGGGGAGACTGTGTGGGGCCACATGGGGCCGGGGGTGGGGGCAGCACCTGGAGTCCCCGGTGAGCGGGTAGTAGGGGGCCTCCTCGATGGAGCTGGCATTGGAGTAAGCCAGAGTGGAGCAATAGTTGAGGCCCCTGAAGAGGGGTCTGCAGTCGGACCAGGATTTCCTGTTCTCGATCAAGGGCGGGATCACCTTGGAGTATGTAGTGGTGGAGACTAGGTGGAGGGTGTTACTGCAAGAGGGACAGTGGCTGGTTAGCTGTGGACCCCTCTCACAAGCCCAAGGCCGAGGACTGGGTCCTCACCCTCCCAGCTGGCCTGGGGTCTTAGGGCGTCTCCTCACAGGGTTTGCCGCCTTGAACCCCGACTCAGGCAGACCCAGCTCCTCCCTCCCTCCCTCCCTGCAGAGAGTAGAGAGGGAGGTGAGCAGACTTCAGGGCCCCCCTGCATCTGCCAGGAGGGCAGGGCCACGGATCTGGACTCACATCTCTGGGGGCCTGCCACTGGGCACTGCAGCCCAGACTGGGTGACCTACCTGGCTTTGAAGAGCTTGACCCGGTTCTTGGGAGCGGGGATGGCAAACTTGAGTTGGCCCTTGGTCAGAGCCACGCGAGCCTCCAGGCCAGATTCATGGTAGAGGTTGGAGTTCATCTGGACCCCACTCCAGGCAAAGTCTGGGACGATGACCCCGAGGTGGGTCACAAACTCCACAGACACTGAGGGCTTGGCCACCAGCTCTGCCTGCCTCTGGCGGGGAGAGAGAGAAGACGGGAGCAGGTTCTACCTCAGTCCGGACCCTCTGCAGCCTCCTCAGGCCTCCCAGGAGGCCTCTGGTCCCTGCTGGTACTGGTGCAGAGGGCAGGGGCTTGGCTGTGATGCCTTTGGAGAGGCAGCCACCTCCAGGACCCTGTGAGTCTATGATGCCCTTACAGAAAGACCCTGAGGCTTATCCCAGCCCCTACCTCAAACCTCAGCTAATCAGAGGATCTCTGTTCTTAGGGGCGCCCGACCTCCAGGTCCCCAAAGCTTCCCCTGCCCCTGTGAGCCTGCCTTGGCTGTGGAATCCTGGGTGAGAGCTCACAGCTTGTCCACCCTTAGCCGAGTGGACAAGGAGCCATGCCTTCTCTCTCCTAGCAAGGATGCCCAAGCCTCTCAGGGACTCACCTTCTCCTTCCTTCTGCCCTCTCGAGGCCCTGCACGTGCACCCCACACCAGGACTCACATTAGCCACTTGTAGCTTCATCCCAGCCATGACTCCAGGGGTGACCAGGCCAGATGTGGACAGCTGGAGCGGCAGCCCGACTCCGGTGGGGAATTCAATGGTGTTTTCCATGAAGATATAGTGAACAAAGAGGTCATTCTTGGAGCCTTTGGTGAGGGCCTCAGCAATCTGGGGGTACACCAAGAAGCCAAGTAAGTGGGGTGCACAGTAAGTGACCAGGAGGCTCCCAGCTCCCTCTCGTGACCTGAGTGCCAGGCACAACGGCGCCCTCCAGGCATCTGCCAACCGCCAGGAAGCTCATGGGGAACAGCAAACACATCCTGGCCATTCTGAATGCCCCATCTTTTCTGGAGGCTCCCGAAGACTGCTCAGGTGCCTGGGGTGTCTGGCACGTGGTGTCTTTTGGGTTGGGACAGCTCAGTGCCAAGAGCCCCAGGCCTGGAGTTAGGAAGACCTGAGTTCAAATCCAGTCTCAGACACTGACCTTGGTCAACTCACTTAACTGCTGCCTACCTCAGTTTCTTCAACTGCAAAATGGAGATAATAATAGCACCTCCCTCCCAGAGTGGGTATAAGGATCAAATGAAATGGGAATTGTGAAGTGCTTAGCCTGGCACACAGTAGGTGCTATGTAAATGCTATCATCATTATCAGTCATTGGATGGTGTTTACTCAAAGCATGTTTCATGACCCAAAGTCCCTCTCAGAAACTGAGTAATGTCAGTCCGTGTCCCTCCTCCTCCTCTTCTTCACCTCCTTCTCCCCTCACCTCCTCCTCCTCTTCCTCACCTCCTTCTCCCCTCACCTCCTCCTCTTCCTCACCTTCTCCTTGCTTCACCTCCTCCTCCTCCATACCTCTTCCTCCTCCTCACCTCCCCTTGACTCCTCCTCCTCCTCTTCCTCACCTCTTCCTCCCCTCGCCTCCTCTTCCTCCCCTCACCTCCTCCTCCTCCTTGCCTCCTGCCTCCCTGGCTTCCTCCAACCTTTGGCATGAAGCCTTTCCCATGGCCCTCCATGCTAGCACCTTCCCTCGGGGGTCACCTCCAGTGTTCCCTGCCTCCAGCTGGACCGCACAGGGTTGTTTGCATGTTGTCTCCCCAACTAGACTGGGAGCCCCTCGAGGACAGACGCTGACATACAGCAGGTGCTTAATAAATGCTTATTGACCGCCCCACTGACGGGTGTTTTGCCACATGCTTTTATGCTCTGGGTGAGTTTTTGTCTTTTAAACCCCGTAATAATAATAATAACTATGAAAGGCAGTGCAGGACTGTGGGACAAGGCGGGAGCCTTGGGGTCCAGAAGAGCCAGGTTCGAGCCTTGCCTCTGACACCGACCAGTGTCAGCCCCCTAAGAATATCAGTTATGGATGAGGTGTCCAGGGATCAGGCCACCCTCTGTGCCTGGGTCCTCAGCACCTCCAGCAGAATGGGCTAAAGGGGCCTAATAAATGATTGCTGGTTTATTGAGTGTTCTCAGACTGCGCCCTCACCAGGGATGCACGTGCGCGCACGCGCGCACACACACGTAGCGGCCTCTTTCTCATCTCTGCTGGCCAGCGCCCTTGGCTGCCTTAAGGCCCAACTCAGGAGCCTCCTCCTCCCAGAAGCCTCTGGGATTGCCTCCAGATCTGTAAAAGCCCTCCCTAACCCTAACCCTCCTCAGACCTTCCTAGATCCCTTCCCTCTCTCCTCTGGCCCATCCCTCTTGGGGCAGTCCTCTTCAGGGGGGACAGCTTGCTTTCCACCCTCGTGTCCCAGAAGACTGTAAACTCCTGAGGACAGAGACAACAGCACCTTCAGGCACCTCAAAAAGATGGACACCTGCTGGCTGCAGACTGGGGCCCAGACCCAGGTGTGGTGGCCCTCAGAGGGAGCACCGGCCCAGGCCTCAGCTCGGGCTCTCCGTGCACCCACCCCCTGTCAGTGACAGCCCCCAGGTCAGAGCAGCAGGCCGCCAGGGCCCAGGCACTCACCAGCTGAGGAAGGTCCCGCAAGGACTTCACCATCCTGAGCAGCGCCGTGCCCAAGACCTGGAAGTCCTCCAGCCTGACATAGCCCAGCTCCTCGCCCAGAACGCGCAGGTAAGCCTGGGCCTCGGGGGCTTCCCTGGACCCCAAATCTTTGATAAGCTTCTGAAAACTGAGCATGAGTCCATTCACCATATCCTGCAGATTTAGGAGAAAGAAGACAGAGGCCGATGACCATAGGTCCCTGTCCAGCCGATGACGACGGGATGCCAACACCCCTTTGACTGCAGAACCAGGCAATGGTCAGAGCTGAGGTGGGGGAGAGGGGAGGCCCAGAGAGAACCAGAGGTCGAGGGATCTAAGCATCTGTGGAAGAAACTCAGGGGAAACAGGAGCGTGGCCTCAGGTTTCCTAGGGCTGGGGGCAAGATGCAAAGAGGAAGATCGAGCCTGGGGGTCTCTGAAGTAAATCCTTCCTGACAGAGCTGCCCCTTCCTGAGGTGTATGAGGAAAACCTGGATGGCCACAGGTTGGATAAACTGCAGGGGGCCTTCCTGGCCAGGGATGGTCAGATGTGGCCCTTTCTGGCTCCCAGATTCCACAGTACAGGAGAGCAAAGCAGAGCCCCAGGCTGACCTGCTCACAACCCTGCAGCCACAGTGGGCAGGGCCCCCCGCAGGAAGGAGCTTCCTGGGTACCCCAGGGACCTTCCTAAAGCAGAGGGGAAATGAATTTTATTTTTCTTCTTCTTACACCAACTGGGAATTAGTAAAGAAAATGACCCAGCGTCCCTTCAGAGAGAAGTGTCAATGACATCGAGAGCTGGGAAAGAGTTCTAGTGTGTGACTGAGGCAGGGCCGGGGTCTGAGCACCTGATCCCTCTTCTCTTCCTTGGTGTAGCCAAAGTGGTCCACTAAGACCTTCGAGACTGGGTCAGGAACTCGGCTGTCCACCCAGTACAAGGCTTTGGTTGCGCTGTCGGGGAAGAAGCCCTGCTTTCCAAAGAGTGCCTCCAGGGTGGGCTCGTAGCCTTTCCCCTCCAGGCCGACCTAAGGAGAGAAGAAACAGTCAGCATGCAGCCGCTTGCTCCCCTAGGAGAGATACCCCAAAAAGTGCTCGCTTCTGGGGAGCCGTAAAGGCAGGAGGCCCCTACGAGATGGGGTGCCTCCCAGCCCCACCAAGAGCTAGCTCCCTGGGACAGGTCGCCATCTCCTGCCCTTGCCTGTCCCAAGAACCCGCGTAGGAAGGGGGCCTCCCTTCCCTGGGTCTGGCTTGGCTGGTGCCAAAGTTCTCTGCCTAGAGATGAGCTCCTGAGGGCAGCCAAGGGGGAGAAGGAGGCTCCCCATCCCCACTCATTTCCCTGGGGTGCCTGACCAAGACATTCTGCCTGTGGAGGCTGGGCAGCAGGCTGTGCATGACGCACCTCGAAGAGGTCAGTGGGATGGAAGCCAAAGACAGAAAGCGTGGTTTTCAGCATGGTCTCCTTAGGCAGGTAATTGTGGGGGTCAAACAGAAGGTTCCCTTCTACCTTGGCAGAGAAGGGACCGAAGAGGGGGATAGAAAAAGCCTTGGAGAACTGATAGTTCTGAGAAAACCTCCTGAAGTCCATGGCTGTGGGGAGCTGGGAGTTCTGGAGAGCCTCTTTCACCAGGCTTCTGAGGCTGTAAAGAAAATTAGGGTTCACGGGAATGCCCCAAGGCACTGCAGCTCCCAGGCGGGCTTGGTGTTCTGACACAGACCTGAACCGTCATCCCCACCTTCTCCAATACAACCCCTCCTCTGATAGCGCCACCCCTGGGGGCAGATCCCCATTCCCTGGCCCCCTCCTCTGACAATGGCCTGGTTCCCCCCCCATAGCACCACCCCCAGGGACAGGCCCCTAATCCCTGGCCCCCTCCTCTGCCCCAACCCGGGGGCAGGCCCTCATCACCTCGCACCTGGAGCGTCTGCCTGCCTCAGATCTCCCCCACTCCAGTGCATTCTCCACTCAGCCACTAAAGAGATTTTCCTAAAGTGCAGGTCTGACTGTGTCACCCTCTACTCAGTAACATCTTGTGGCTCCCCATCACCTCCAGGACCAAACACCAAATGCTCTATTGGTCCTTCAAGGCCCCTTCGTAGCCTGGCCCCCTCCCCCGACCCCTCCACATCCTCAATGACAGCAGCCCTCAGGCTGTTCCGCACCAGGGCCCTCTCCCTCCCGTCTCCTGCTTTCCTCTCAGACTTGGCTCAAAGCCCTCCTTGGCAAGATGCTTTTCCTGGTGGGTCCTCACCCCTGCCACCTGTCCCAGCCCCTGAGACCAGCCCAGCCCGTGTCTGTCCCCGGTGCTCCCAGGCTGTCCCCCTAGGGCAGGGGCTGTGTCTGCTGGCCCCTTGGTCCCTTCCTGCCCCCCAAGGCCCGCAGAGGGGATGGAGGGTGGAGCCGGTGTGGCAGTGACCAGGGTGTCCCCACGGGGGTGGTGGCTGTTTCCTCTTCCTTACTCTTGTACACTCGGGTCCTCAGAGACCAGGATGTTGGCGATGTGAGATGCCACGAAGCTCCTCACTTGCTCGTTCTTCTCAGTCTGCAGGGTGGGGATCACGTGGTGGACGGCGTGGCGGGTGGGCTGCCTCATCAGCAGGAGGTAGGCGGCCAGCCGCTTCTCTTCGGGGGAGGCGCTGTCCAGGAAGGTCTGGAGAAGGACGCTGTGCACCTGCAGGCCAAAGAGAAGGCACAGAGCGCTGGTGTCATTGCGGGGTGCTTGTCTTGTCCCAGGCTGGCCAGCCAGATGGCCTGGGCTCACCCCAAGTCCCGGGCCTCAATTTCCCCCTCTGTCAAATGAGCCCAATCAGACAGGAGCCCTTAGCCTCCTCAGGTGGGTGTGAGGAGAGCATTGTTTGAAGCAGACTGCCACAAAGATGGGTTGTGCTCCTTACACCAGGGGGAGAATGATAAGCGCTAACCTTTATGAGGCCCTACTATGTGCCGGGCCCTCTGCTAAGCACTTTACAGTGTTATCTCGTTTGAGCCTCCCAACAGTCCAGGGGGCAGGTGCTGTTATCACCCCTACTTCATAGGGGAGGAAACCGAGGCAATCAGAGGTTAAGTGACTTGCCCAGGATCAAACACAGCTAGGAAGTCTAGGGCTGGATTTGAATTCAGGTTTCCTGTATCTAGGCCCAAGTTCAGGCAGCTGGGCCTAGCACCCCACCCTCCCCCAATGCTCTGCCCAGAGTCCAGCCCAGGCCCAAGCCCACAGGGGGCACTCAGGAAATTCTTGTGCTGTGGAACTGAGAGGACCCAAAGGTCACTCACTGCATTTCCCCTTTGGTCATCAAGAAAATAGCCTTTGTTTCAAGTCTGCTTTGCTATGAACGACACGGTGAGAATAGAGAATAGATGGGGAGGGTCAGGGGCTTCTTGGGCACAGCGGGCACCTGGCCTCCACATGCTGGGGAGCCTGCCCAGGGTCTGGGCTGGGCCAGGGGGCCACTCCAGGCCTCCCCCATCATGGGATGGAGGAAGCCCCGGGCTGGACTGCGCTGCAGAAATGCCCACTGAGTGGGGACGGCAGGCCTAGGAGCAGCCCCTGGGGCCCTCAGACCCCCAGGCCAGCCATCTGCCGAGGACTCACCTCCTCGGTCAGCTCCATCTTCCGGAGGGCCTGGATCGCAGCTTTCTGCACGGAGAGGGAGGGCGTGGGACTCTGGATGCATTTCAGAAGGGAAGCCTTCAGCTGTGGACTCACCTCCTCCAAGGTTCTGCCCATGTTGCCGATGACCTGCCCGGAGAAGAAGGAGAGGGCCTCCCATTAGAGGAAGGCAGGAGAGAATGAGGCCGGCCAACGGGGCACTGCTTAGCGGGTCTCCAGTACCCTGAGGGTGAGGTAGGTAGCTTCCTCACTGCCCGAACACTCATTCCCAAGCTGGGAGATTAGGTAGTCAGCGACCTCCTTCAGCTGCTGTGACACCGTCTCCGTCTGTCGGTGGAATCTGGGGGGCAGAGAGCAGAGTTAGCAGGGACTTGAAGACCCTGGTCACGAGCGCTGCATTTCTCTGAGACTCAGTTTCCTCCCTTGTCACGTGGCTCAATGCCAGCCATGGTGCCCACCTCACAGGGTGTTGGGAAGAGGAGGCTTTACACGTCTCCGAATACCTTGCAAAGCTGAGCTGTGTGAGCCCAGGGGCCGTTCTCAAGCCCCTGACCCACCCCCAGGAACAGGGGGCACTCACTTGTTCACCACATGGCTCAGGGCATAGAGAGTGATGCGGCTTGGCCGTTCCTGGGCCACTCTGAAGATCTCCCGCAGCCTCTGGGCGGAGGGGTTGGGAATCAGCGCCATGATGTAGGAGGCTGCCTCAATCACCAAAGGGTTGACTTTCTCAGTTTTCAGCCAGTGCAGGATGTGTGAGTAGCACTGGGGCTGTCCACACTGCACCAGGGCCTGCAGGGCAAGGGGGCTGGGGAGACAAGAGGACACAGGGTCTGACTCATCCATCCTCTGTGACCCCTCTGGCCCGACAGGATCATGTACCTACAGGGCCTCCAGACACGTCCAGCCTTTGCCCGTCGGTGGGCCTGGAAAACCTTCATCTCCCTCTCCGTCCACCCCTCTACAGCCCAGCCTGGATGCCTGCTGGCCTGGGCTGTCTCCCCAGTGCCTCCTCCCAGGGAGGCCCTTCCCTCTTGACCCCTCTCTCATGCACATAACATGGAATGCTGTATGCCTGAGCTCTCTGAACTGGGGTCTTGTCCCCCAGAAGACTGGAAGCCCCCTGAAGTCAGAGGCTTCATCTGAGCTAAACTCTGGAAGTTCCTCAGGGCTTAGCCCACAGTTCTGTATCTTGGCCCTGCTGGGCAGATGCACCTGGCTCCTTGGGCCATGGCCACTGAAAATCTCATTCCTTCCTCTGGACATTTTGGCCTCTTTGCCCAGCTCTTCCTCCCTGGGAAGTCCTTTCTGGCCTGTCAGCCAAATCCTTCCCACCCCTTACAGGTCCTGCTCAAATCCTGCTTCCTTCATGGAACTCTCCCTGACCACCCAGTGCAGTGATCGCCCCCATGCCTAAGATTTCCCTGACCCCCCAATCTAGGATCACCCCCATACCTAAGCCTTTGCTGACCCCCCAGTACACTGATCACCCCCATACCTAAGCCTTCCCTGACCCCCAAATCCAGTGATCACCCCCATACCCAAGACTTCCCTGACCCCAGTGCAGTAATCATCCCCATACCTAAGCCTTTGCTGACCCCCCAGTACACTGATCACCCCCATACCTAAGCCGTCCCTGACCCCCCAATCCAGTGATCACCCCCATACCCAAGCCTTCCCTGACCCCAGTATAGCGATCACCCCCATACCTAAGCCTTCCCTGACCCCAATCCAGGGATCACCCCCATACCTAAGCCTTCCCTGACCCCAGTGCAGTGATTACCCCCATACCTAAGCCTTCCTTGGCCCCCCAATCCAGTGATTACCCCCATACCTAAGCCTTCCCTGACCCCCCAATCAAGGAATCACCCCCACACCTAAGCCTTCCCTGACCCCAATCCAGGGATCACCCCCATACCTAAGCCTTCCCTGACCCCCCAGTGCACTGATCACCTCTACACCTAAGCCTTCCCTGACCCCCCAATCCAGGAATCACCCCCCACACCCAAGCCTTCCCTGACCCCAGTGCAGCGATCACCCTCCCCTCAGTCCCCAGGGCCCGTTGGCTCATGTGCCATTGTTGCATGCTCAGGTCTAGGCTGTCTGGTGCCAGGGATGCCCTCAAGGACATGGGCTGTGCCTGCTTCCCATTCTAGCAGGGCCAAGCCAAGGTTGGCACAGACGATGCTCCCTATGGCCGCCTCTGGAGTACCAATTCTGAGATCGTAGGCAGGTCTCAGTGTATGTGTAGGTGTCTCCTTAAGCATTGTAAGCTCCCTGAAGGCAAGGCTGTGTCCTCACAGCAGCAGAAGGGATCTCAAAGGACATCTATGATAAACTATGCCCAGCTGAAGAGCCCCCTCTTTGACCTCTCTGACAAGCAGTCCTCCAGCCTGAGAGGGAGCTTGCCCCTTCTATGCTAGGACAGCTCAGATTGTTAGAAAAAACCTCCTGTCCTCCAGCCCTCTCTGCCTTATCCCCTGGGGCCACGCACAAGGCAAATCCCTCTTGCACAAATACTTCAACAGTCCCTGCCCTGGCCCCCAGTCTTCACCTTTGCTGGCTAAATACCAGCCACCCCTTCCCTTCATCTGTGCCCGCTTGGCGTAAACCCCAGGCCCTGCCCCAGCCTGGTTCCCCTCCAGCTCCCCAGCCCCTCCATGGCCTTTCTCATCCACTACGTGCTATCTGAAGAATCACTCTCTGGTTTTGAGTCTATCTGGCTGTCTGTAACCTAGCCCTTATCCCTTCAGATGAAATGGGGGCCTTGGGCTGTCCATCTGTGTCCTGCGCCCAGCTCCAAGGCATTCGCAAGGCTTGCTGCTGGCCAGTACAGAGTCCCCTCTGGATTTCACAGTCAGACCCATCCCTCCTTCTCTCTGGCCCCTCCCAGGCCTGTCCCTCACCTGCTCCAGCCTCCCAGGCCTGGTGCCCCTGGTGACGTTACCTCGAGACTTCCAGAAGCTTGGGCCACAGGGAAGTGAAGGCCTCTTCATTGAGGGCCCTCAGGCCAGTAACCAGCCTGCTGAAGAGCTTGGCTCGATGCTCATTCTGCTCCAAGGCTGACAGCTTCTGCAGCTCCTCAAGGGTCTTCAGAACCACCTCCCCTCCCTCCTTGGTGGGGGCTGTAGCCTCTGCACTCTCCAAGGTAAGGCCTCTCTTCTCAAGAGCACCTGGAAGGGGGAAGAGACGTGTCCAGGATCTCAGGACTGGAAGGAGCCCCCAAGGCTAAGGACCCACCTCCCTCCACCAATGCTTCGGCATGGAGTCACCAGTTGGCCCTTTCTGGTCACAGAGGGTTCACTGCCTCCAGGGTCCATCCACTGCTTTGTCAGTGGATTGGGCTGAAATTCAATCCCCCTGCCACTCATTCCCCATTGGGTAGGTCCCTGACTCTAGGGATCCTAATCCATACACTCCTAATCTATAACAAGAGGATCTCTATAGACCCCCCAGCTCTGAACTCTGAGGCCCCATCATCACTTATGCTGGCTAGCAGAGGGGGAGGGCAGGCCCCTGATGGGACCAGGACTGGGTCACTCACACCCAGCGCCCCTTTCAGTCTCTTGTGCCCACTCTCAGTGCTGCCAGAGTCTACCCCATCCACAAAGTTTGCTGCTGGGAACAGCCTTCAATGACTGGACGTGATCCAGCAGAGACACACAGACCAGAAGGATGCCAAGCACCTGCAAGAGGGGCATCCAGAACCCAACGCCCTGACTCCAGAACCTGGGCTTTCCCCACTGCCCTGCTCCGCCGCTGCCAGCCTTCCATGGAAACACAGCCCACCTTCATCAAAGAAGCGGCTATTGATCTTGGGGGTGTCTTCAAGTTTCAGGGTCTGTGTGATATGGGCCATCATGCCATACTGATTCCTGGAATGCAGAACACAGCAGCTCTGTATGCCTTCTGTCACCACCTCTCCAAATGCTGCCCGTCTGTCCTTCTTGGCCGGCTCCAGTCAGGCTTCCTCCAGGAGGCCTGCCCCAACCTCCTGACCCACCCCAGTTTCTAAGCACTGCCTGTCTGTCCCCTTCACTGGGCCTTACGGTGTTTAGGGCTCTGGTTGGTACCCTCAGCCAGACTTTGGCCTTGCCTGGTCACCACCCACCCAGGCAGGGGACTAACACAGGCCTCCCCGTGGATGCCTGCTGATAGCCAATCCCACAGCTCAGGCAGGGCCTCCTTCCTCCTCTACAAGCTCCCAGGACCCTCTCCTCTAGGACAAACTCTGTCTCTGCTTCAGGCCCCATTGGGCTCAGTGAGGCCCTAGCATAGTCTGGACAGTCTTGTTCTCCTGGGCTTCCTGCCCCATCACTGCCCAAGCCAGGGCTGGGCACACAGTGAAAGCCAGGAGACAGTAGGACCTGCTGGCCTGCTGGCCAGGGAAGCATACTTGTAGGAGAAGGGCAGAAAGAGGTGCTGCTCCTTGCAGACGGCTTCCAGCACGTGCTTCTTCCGAGGGTCCAGAGTGTACGCACACTCCTGTTGGCTGCTGAGCAGCTTTGACAAGGGGCCACCCTGGAAATGAGAATCGGGAAGGACATCCACTCTGAGGCCGAGCCATGGCCTGACCCACCCTTCTCAGCTCCAGCACCAGCCCCTTCCCTTCCATGTGTGCAGGGGCCGACAAAGGGGAGAGATCTGAGCCCAGCCAGATCAGGATGCCTGCTTGCTGTAGATGAAGATTTCCCCCGACAGATGCTGGCACCCTTATCTCCTGACTTCTCTGACTTTGAAGAATCCTTGCTACTCTTCTGACCTGAGCAGCCTCACACCTGCTATCATCATCTTCATCATCACCACCATCATCATCACCATCATCACCACATCATCTTCATCACCATCATCATCACCATCACCATCATCATCACCACCATCACCATCATCTTCATCATCACCACATCATCATCATCTTCATCATCACCACCATCATCATCACCATCATCATCATCACCATCATCACCACCATCATCATCACCATCATCACCACATCATCTTCATCATCATCACCACATCATCTTCATCATCATCACCATCATCACCATCACTATCATCTTCATCATCACCACCATCATCATCATCACCATCACCATCATCATCATCATCATCACCACCATCATCATCACCACCATCATCATCATCACCATCATCATTATCTTCATCATCATTATCATCATTATTGTTATTTTCTATTTCAAGCCAGGGCACCTTGTCTTTCCAGCCAGACTGGCAGGGCCAGCCTCTGGGATTCCCCTAGCCCAGGCCAGCTCAGCAGCCCCAGGATGCACTGTTGGGCACAGTCAGACCACTGCTCCACAAAGGCTTCTTGAATTCATGAGCCTGTTTCAGGCAGCCAATCAATCGCTATGCTTTGATCAAGGACCTTCTCCTTTGCACTTTCTTGGGACACAGAAGAAGCTTGGCCACTGCCTTAGCCTGAGGACCACACCTTGCCTCAGCCCCACTGCTGTAGCCTGAGGACTTTGGCCTTCCTGTTCTGTGTTGTCTACCCCAGTTACCTCCTTACAAGAAGGGATCTTCTCAATATTTCTATATTTTTATCTGCAAACATTGCAGTCAATGCTTACTACTTCATTCATTCCTTTGTTCACTCATTCATTTCTTCATTCATTCACTCCTTCCTTCCTCATTTATTTGCTCATTCAGACTACGTGCTGGATATGGCTAGGCCATAGGAAACAAAGCTAGGAATGAAGCAGCCTCTGCCCTCTGGGAATTTACATTCTTTATGGGAAACTACAAAGACACAGAGCAATAGAACCCCAGGTAGACTCAACAGCAGGAGAATAAGCCCGTGGCCAAGAGGTCAGCGTGAAGGTTGGCTGCCCTTTCCCAGCCAAGGGACAACATCCCTAGGGGGGCACACCCAGGCTCCTGCTGCCTGAGGCCCAGACAGATGTTTATAGAGAATCAATGCTCAGAAATGGGTCGAGAAGGGGAGAGTCGATTCCCAAGACCAGGTTGATGAAGTCCCGAGGACTCTGGGCTGCAGACAGAATGGCCCTGGTGCTGGGTCTGGGTCAGTGGCTCAGGCTCATGAGAGGGTGTGTGTGTGTGTGTGTGTGTGTGTGTGTGTGGCACTGAAGGAGAGGCTCAGTTACAGCCTCTCTGCTGGAGGGTGGGGTCAGCCTCCTCCTTGAGACCCAGACATGGCTGCCCACCTCCTCTCAGGGCCAGTGGCCATCACTATCCAATGCCTGCAAAGGCCCTGATCCCCATGCCAGAGCCCTGGGCTGGCAGCTGGGCTTCCTTAGTCCCACAGTGCCTGGACCAGTGTCTTCCCCTCTCTGGGCCTCAGGGGCCCTGGTGAGACCCCTCCCTTTATTGACCAGGACTCTGGACCCCAAGGACCTACAAGGACAGGCACTCACCAGGCCTTTGATGAGGGCAATTGGACTAGCAGCCTTACTGATGGGCTTGAATCCATCACATTTTTCCAGGTTTCTGTTGATCAATACTTCAGTTGCAACATTTCCTTTCCTTGCCCGGACTGTGACATCACTGGAGCAGTTCCCGTACACAGTGTCCTGGGCAGGAGAGGAGGAAGAACAGTGGGGGTCAGTGCCCTTGGGGCCCCTGGGGCAGGAGGCTGGCTGTAGGCAGCAGGGGAGCAGCAAAGAGGTGGGAAGCCTTTCCCTGCCCAGGAAGAGGGAGAGGGAGGGGCCAGGCTGGGAGGCGCCCAGGGGCCACAACCTGGGTCAGCATCACAATAAATATTTTCAGAAAATTCTCAGGTTTTGAAATGATTTCAGTTTTTTGGAAATGAGTGCTATTTTAAGGGCGAAGGCTGCCTCCTGAGTCCCAGACCCCTCTCTGCTCTGACTTCGCAGGGTGGGGATGCTCCATCCCTCTGCTCAGAAGGATCTTTGAGGCAGGGCTGTCTGCAGGCCAGGAGGCCGCCCAGCTCCTTCTCTCTCCAGGGTCAGGGTAGTGAGGGGGTAGGTCAGGATTAGGACAAGAGGACACTGTGGCCTGTGGATTGGGAGCCACCAGACACTGGTTTTCTTTCAAATTCCCCATTTGGCTGGGGCAGTAGGGATCCTCCCAGCATGGTGTTAGGCACATGATAGGGCAGATAGGTGGCACATCAAGCAGAGAGCCTAGAGTCGGGAAGACCCGAGTTCAAATCCTGTTCAGTTGTGTGACCTGGGGCAAGTCATTTTCATCTCTGCCTCAGTTTCCTCAACTGTAAAATGGGTCAATTTGAGGTTCCCATGAGGTAAGCTGTAAAGGGCTTGGCAAACCCTGTCCACAAGGTGACCGTTCTGTCAGCTGGCATGCTCACCAGGGCCAGCAGCCGCCGGTCCTCCTCTGTGTCCATGGGCACCAGCAGTGCAGAGACCACGCCTCTCTTGATGTTGAGAATGTGTGTCGGTTCCCCCTTCTCGGGGTACAGGAGCACCTGCTTCCCATCGGGGATGCTGAGCCGGAGCTCATACCTGTCCCAAGGAGAGACAGCCATTGCATTCCTGGGCTCTGCCTCCGCTCCAGCGGAACTCGGAGACTAGTTCCAGTCCTGCCAGTTTCAGTCTTTCCCAGCAGCGCCCCCCCCCTTCCCTCCCTGGGCCTCCTGGGCCTCCAGGTCCTCCGTGGTTCCTAGGCGGAGACTCTGGACACTCGGTCCATCCCCAGTCCCGTGGGGGGACCCCTCCAAGCTGCCAGCTACTGCCAGGACCGGCCCAGCCTGGCCGAAGGGAGCGCAGACTCAGCCCCTCACCTGGACATGGCAGCGGCGAATTCGTCCGAGTTCTTCGTCTTCCTCAGCAGGGCTTTGCCATCCGGGTCGAAGCCGTACACCTCCTTCAGCGTGCATCGGTTCATCTTCAGGATGAAGCTGCACAGCTGGGGGACCTCCAGTTCCACCTGAAAGCAGGGACTCCTGAGTCCCAGACCCCTCTCTGCTCTGACTTCGCAGGGTGGGGATGCTCCATCCCTCTGCTCAGAAGGATCTTTGAGGCAGGGCTGTCTGCAGGCCAGGAGGCCGCCCAGCTCCTTCTCTCTCCAGGGTCAGGGTAGTGAGGGGGTAGGTCAGGATTAGGACAAGAGGACACTGTGGCCTGTGGATTGGGAGCCACCAGACACTGGTTTTCTTTCAAATTCCCCATTTGGCTGGGGCAGTAGGGATCCTCCCAGCATGGTGTTAGGCACATGATAGGGCAGATAGGTGGCGTCTCGGGAGAGCCCCGCCCCCGCCCAGGGCACCTGGCGGGCGGAGGCCGCTCGGGACTCAGAGAGCGCCCCCGGCCCGGCGGCCTCGGTTTCCTCATCTGCACCACGAAGATCCCTGCCTCCCAGAGGGGCCGAAGTGCTGGGGAAATGCCTCCCTGTCCTGCCTTGTTGGGGCTCACAAGCCAATTACAAGCTTTGGTCCCTGCTAGAGCCACACCAAGCCTCCCCAAGGATTGTGGGTGGAGCCTCAAACGTTTGTTGATTGACTGACAGTTACCCCCAAGAATGAGCATGAGACGGTTGGTCCGTTTGGCCCAGCCCGGGAAGATGCCAGGGGCATCTGTGGGAAAGGGAGGCAGAACCCCAAACATCTCCTGAGGGAGCTCCCTGCCCCCCTCCCCCCCGGCTGTAACAAACCCTGCAGTTTGCTCCCCGCTGAGCATTGTCAAAGCCCGGAATCAGGGGCCGGGCCAGGGACGGGGCAGGTGAGGGGGCCTGCTGAGTGGGCTTCACACAAACTCCGCCTCCATCCCTACCTGCCTCCTCCTCCCCAAGACTTGACATTCCCCAGACAACGTCTCGCCCTGTACTCGGCTCCTCCGCTGGAGAGCTCAGCTCGCCCCCACACGTGGTCTCCACTAGCCCACGCCTCTCAGCAGCCTCCTGCACACCTCTGGCTGTGTCCTCTTTCCCCTGCCTTCCTCTGCAGCCTTGCAGGCCTTCAGGTAGGAGGCCCTCCCTGATTGCCCCTGGCCAGAGGTGACCCTTCCTCAGCCAGATTCTCCCACCTGCCAGGGGCCTTTGCTACCTGTTCATTTATCCTTCTTTTCCTTCCTTCCCAGACTGGAAGCTTTGGGAGGGCAGGGCTATCTCATATTTGTCTCTGCCTCCCTCATCGTCCAGGAGACCACTCACTCAGGGTTGGCTAATGGCATCCCAGAGGGGGAGGGAATTTCAAGGTCATGCCTTTCACCCCTCCCTGCCCCCTGCCCAAAGTATCAATCATCCTACCCTAACCTACCACCCCCCAGCTTTCTTTTGAAGACTTCCAGAGACAGGGAACTCAGTGTTCCTCCAGCCCGGTAGGACAGCCATCATGGTAGCTAATGAACAAATAGTTTCAATGGTTTGAATGGTTTTTAAAGCCACAAAAAGCTCAGCACATTCTGAATGCTGCCGGACTCCACCCATATCCTCAGTGTGACTGGCAGAGCTGGACGGAGCTCCTGCCCTGGGCTCCTGCCGGGCTTTGCTGGGAGGGAAGCAGACATAACCCAAGCCCAGGCTGGCCCTTCCAGAGCTCCCAGGGGAGCAGGGAGGGAAGGGGGGGAAGCAGCCAGCTCAGACAGAGGAGGCTCCCGGCTCCAGGGCCCCAGAAAGGTGAGGGACAGTCTCCGCTTAAAAGAAGGGGGAGAGGACCAGGTCTCTGGCCTGTGTCCTTCCTCACAATCCTAACCCAAGCCTTCCAGACTCTAGATTTGCCCTAAAATCTCTGGGACAACAACACCAGCTTCAACAGACCCTTGAGACCCCCCAGAGCTGGCAAGGGGCCTCGAGCAGAGTATACAAAATGCTTCCTCTGTCCGCCCCCCAAATGGCCCCCAGATAGGCTGCCTCAGAGCATCTCCCCCGTCTGCCCCTGCCTCACCCCCACTGCAATGAGACAAAAGGATTCAGGAGAAGCTTTCCTAAACAGGTAACCCTCCAGGCGGGCAGATAGTCAGCACCTCCTGTGTGCCTATCTCTGTGCTAAGAGCTGCAGATACAAAGACTGGCTGATGACTGACTGACAGAAGCCTGGCCCTCCAGGTGGGGAAGCAGCCTGGGCATGCTGGCCTGGAAGTGCCCACTGCCCCTGAGGATGCACCTCCCTCCTGTGTGGGCACAGGGCCCTGCACTGGACCCTGGCCTGGGAGTGCCCACTGCCCCTGAGCATGCTCCTCCCTCCTGTGTGGGCACAGGGCCCTGGGGCACAGAGGCCTCTCCCCTGGCACTCCTGGGGGCTACGGACCTTGCAGTTGATTCTCGTGGCGCTGCGAGAGTCTGCAGTGCCAGCTACACTGTTGGCACTCTCAGCTTCGTAGCTGTATACATATTTTCGGAGGTGCTTGAAGCGGGTAGTATCTCCTGAGAGGAGAAGACAGGTATTAGCAGGGCTCCGAAGGGTGGCTAGTGACCCTGAGGAGCTGGGAGGGCCGGGGGACCCAGACTGGGCTTCCTTCTGCACACTCACTAATGGTACCCTGGTCTCCCAAACTAAATCTTTCTGCTGACAGAAGAGGGAAGAGAGGACTGAATGCTCAGAACATGATATCCCGACGAGCCTTTCTGAGCTTGGGGGAGATCCAGGACTGGTGCGTGCCTGTCCTGGCTGGGCCAGCAGCAGAGTCCTGGGCCCAGGAATCCTTGTGAGCACAGCTCCTCTGTGGGTACGCAGCCCCTCGACCCACAAACCTGCAGACCTCAGTTCCAGGGTGGCTGAGCATGCTGGAGTCGGGCAGCCCAGGAGGGCCTGGCCTCAGGGCCAGTGGCAGGCTATGGGGAGCCGCCTGACCTAGGCAGGGCCCTAGCAAACAGCCTGGCCAACATCTGCCAGTGCCCAAGCGGGACTGACTGCGGGCAGAGGGTCGGTCTGGCCAGCAGGTGGCGCCAGGGCCCTGTCCAAGGAAGGTGACCCTCATTGTTTGACTAAGGCTGGCTGTCCAAAGCCACACTCCAAAGGTCCCTGGGAGCCCCAGGGGTGGGAGGAGGGACAGGATGGGATGAGCAAATAGCCCAGGATAGCCTGGGTGGGGGTTGGGGGGTGGTGGTCTGGCCTTCCCTCAGGAGTGAGGCTGATCAATGATTAATTAGCCCACCCACAGCAGCAACACAGTGTTGACTTTTGAGGACCGATGGGGGAGGGAGCCCCTGGGGCTCAACTTCGGGAGCCCAAGGGAAGAACTAGGGCCCTGAGCCGCTGCCACCCAGGGCTGCCCAAATCCCACGTCTCCACCCCCAGCACCCAGGCTCTGCTGTGACTTACTTGGACAGGTCGGTCTCTGGTTTTCTACCCTCTCCTCTTCTGGAAGGAAAGAAGAGAAATGCGCTATGGGGAATCTGTGGCTGCCACAATAGGACCCTAATTCCATTCCCTGCAGGCTCCCCGCACTTCCCCCAAAGTGCACCAGGCTGGCCTCCCTCATCTTGCCGGTTCTTCAGCATGTCCTCTGGAAGCAGTCTGTTTTCTGGCTGAACTGCACGTGCTGCTCTGCTGTGGGTCCTGGACATCGATGTCCACTGAGGCAGGGCTCCTGCCTGGACACCCACCCCTCCAGCGCTTGGAGCTAAGCTGCCTGCCAGCTTTCAGGGGAGTCCCTGGGGCTCCTTCTCACTCACCCACTGCCACCCTGAGGATTGTTCCCTCCTATTCCTGGGGCCCTACGCCTTAGCAGAAAGGCTCCCCACCTTCAGCATCATCGTTGTGCCGGGGGGCCATAGAGAAGAGAAAACAGTTCATCCCCAACCCACCCACCTAGAAACAGCACACTGAGGCCTTTGACTGGGCTCTTTGGCCTGCAAGCCAAACATCTGGAGGGGTTTCCCTGTGCCCTATTTCTTTCTCCAGATCAGATCCCATAGATTTCTGCTCAGTCCATGGCCCAGCGCCCATGCCCAGGAGCCCAGCGCTTACGAGAAGAGCAGCCGCCCAGGAGCAGCAGCAGGAGAAGAAGGGTGCCCCAGGGACCCATGGCAGCCCGCTGGGGAGGGGGCCTCCTGGGAGCTCCTGTACCCGTCTCTCGAGTCCCTTTCAGCTGGCTGGTGGGCTATTCACTGCCTTCTCCTCCTGCTGGCTCCTTGCTGGCGAAAGTGAGCCCCCTTATTTGGAGCTGCCCTTATATAGCTCTCAGCCGCTGAGCTAACCGGGATAAGAAGTTTACAGAAGATTGCAAAAGGTCCAAAGGGCAGAGTCCTGGGTCCTCCTGCATTTCCACATTAGGCTTGCCTGGGCTAAGGGCCCCAGCAGGAAAGGCAGGGAGGGCAGAGGAGAAAGGAGAGCCACCTGAGGCCAGATTAGGAGGCATTTCTCCGAGGTGACTTCTCTCCTCAAAGGGTTTTCTGAAAGTACTCAGTCCTGGAGAATGAGTCCCTGATCTGAGCCTCAGCCTCAGAGATTTCAGGGCTATGGAAGGGACTTTTAGAGATGGTCCAATCCACAGCTCTTTGTCACAAGCAGAGAAGGAAACTGAGGTCCAGACAGGGAAATGGGCTGCCTTCCTCTAGAGAAAAGGAACAGCTCATTGGAATAAAAAAAAAATTAACCTTCAATCTCTATTCGAATGACTCTGACTGCCTACTGGAAGCAGCTCCAAATACTCCCTCTACAGCTTCCATGTCTCTGTCTCTGTCTCTCTCTGCCTCTCTGTACCTCTCTCTCCCTCCCTCCCTCTCTTTCCCTTCCTCTCTCCCTGGGCTCAGGGCTCTTAAAACCCTGCCATCCAAGGACAGGTTGGAGGAGCTTGGGGGTGTTTATCTTGGACAAGAGAAGCCTGAGGGGGCATCCCCTCGCTGACTTCAAGATCTGGCTTGGGAAAGAGGCATTCATTCATCTTCCTGTGCTTGGTGTTGAGGGTAGAACAGGAAACAGGGGGTGGGAGTCACTAAGAGGCTGATCTAGGCTTCATGGGATGAAGAGCCCCCTCACCTTCAGGGCTCCTCCAAAGCAGACTAAGCCTGCCACCTAGGAAGGAGCTCCCCCTCCTTGGAGGTCTTCGGGCAGCAGCCTGATCACCACTGACCAGGGAGGGGTCAGAGCAGCTGGCTTCTGGGGTCCCTTCCAGCTCTGGGATGCTGAGGCAGTGGGGTGTGGGAGGCTAGACAGGTGTGTGGGCCAGTCATTAGAAGCCTCCTTGGGAAAAGCACTACCTGGACCTTTGGAGGAGAAAAGAAAAAGCAGAGGGCCAGGGAACTGGTCAGGAGCTGGAGACCAAGGTCAGGGAGCCTGGAGCCCAGGTTGGCTCCCTCCAGGACATGGTGGATCATGGAAAGCCACGGCTAATGATCCCTGCTGGTCTTAGACACTCATGACCCAAACCCTTCAAGGAGAAGTGGAAACCAAGCCCCGGACCACAAGGGATAATAGGCTCCAGAGCTTTCTCTCTGGTTCCCTAGGAAGCAGGGTCCTAAGCATTTTGGAAGAGTACTGGAGGGGAGGTAAGCAGGCCTAGTCTAGCAATTAAAGATGGCTCCTCCCAGGACCCTGGCACCTACACTTACTGCTGAGATGTGTGACCCTGGGCAAGTCACTTCCTTATCGAGTCTTCATCTCCAACTTTAGAATGGTGATGACCTTCATTGCCCAGTCTTTCTCACCCAGTTGTGTGGGGAAAGTGCTCTGAAAACCTAAAGTGACAGAGAAAGGGGGCACCATTATGCTCTTTTAAAAATTTCCCTCGCAGCTAGAATAGCAAGAGGAACTTCCCAGTGGGGAATGTCTCTGGGCTTTGTTCCAAAGCCAGGCCCTGAAGGACACCCACCCAGGCATCCCAAGCTGTTCCTTGAGAGGCAGGGGTTCAGACATGAGGCACTCTCAAATGACCAAGGATCCTAGGAGAAATGTCCTGACTCACTAATAACAAGAGGAATTTAAAACAGAACCTCTCAGAGGCAATTTGGCAAAGATGAGCAAAGCTGCTTGCTTAAGAAGCTTCAGGACCCCAGTCTTGGGAGGGACCTATGCCCAATGTGACCAAGGTGATGGTGGGCGGTGAGTGGGAAAAAGCCTCTGGCATTACCCTGGGAGCTGACAGGAAGCTTAGATCCAGTCTGCAGGGGGCGGGGAGAGGGGTGAATCCTGCCTCAGTGGGAGCTGATGCCCACAGTTGGGGTGGTGAGGGCTTTCAGCCAGTAAACAGACAAGCATGCTTGTGCCCTCACCCACAGCAGGGAATTGGTCAAACCCACCAGAAGACAGCTTGGAGCTCTGCTTGGAAAGTCCTTCACATCCCTTTGCACCAGCTGCCCCCTTCCATGGGTACATATCCCCAAGGAGGAGATCAAAGTTGCCAAGAAGGGTCCACACGGTGACAGCAGCACCTTTTGTGGTAGCAACAAACTGGAAGCAAGGTGGGTGCCCTGACCAGGGAATGTCCAGACAAGGGGATTCAGAAGTGTGGGAAGACCTTTGTAAAGAAAGCAGAAGCAGGGGAAGAATGCAGGCACTAAGCCCAACACCACACAAGAATGGAACCTTGGGTTTTTGCACAAACAAAGCCAATGCAAACAAGATTAGGAGAGAAGCAGAAAGCTGGGAAGCAATTTTTACAACCAGTGTCTCTGATAAAGGCCTCATTTCTAAAATATATAGAGAACTGAGTGTAATTTATAAGAATATGAGTCATTCCCCAATTGATAAATGCTCAAAGGACATGAACAGGTAGTATTCAGATGAAGAATTAAAGTGATCTATAGTCATATGAAAAAGTGCTCTAAATCACTATTGATTAGAGAAATGCAAATCAAAATGACTCTGAGGTACCACATTACACCTATCAGACTAGCCAACATGACACAACAGGAAAATGATAAATGTTGGAGAAGATGTGGGAAAATTGGAACACTAATGCATTGTTGGTGGAGTTATGAACTGATGCAACCATTCTGGAGAACAATTTGGAATGATGCCCAAAGGGCTATAAAATTGTGCATACCCTTTGACCAGCAATAGCACTTCCAGGGCTGTATCTCAAAGAGATCATACAAATGGGAAAAGGACCCACGTGTACAAAAATATTTATAGCAGCTCTTTTTTTTTGTGGTGGGGAATGGCTGAACAAGTAAGTGGTGGTATATGAATGTAATGGAATACTATTGTGCTATAGGAAATGATAAGCAGGTGGACTTTAAAAAAACCTGGAAAGACTTGTGTGATCTGATGCTGAGTGAAGTGAGCAGAACCAGGAGAACATTATACACAGTGGCAGCAACATTATGTGATGACCAACTTTGATAGACTTAGCCCTTGTCAGCAATACAAGGATCTAAGACATCTCCAAAGTACTCATGATGGAAAATGCTCTCCACATCCAGAGAAAGAACTCTGGAGGCTGAATGCAGATGGAAGGACACTATTTGCTCTCTCTCTCTGTCTCTGTTTCTTCTTTCTCATGGTTACTGCTATTGGTTCTAATTTTTCTTCACAACATGACTAATGTGAAAATATGTCCAATATGAAAAAAAATGGAACCATGGGTGCTAAGCCCGATGCCGCGCAGGAGTGGAACCCAGCTTCACTGGGACTTCACTGGCACTAGGCACCATGGCCAACCTTGGTCCAGGAGAATGGGAGCTTCTGTCCAAATGCATTTGGTCCAATCCAATCAGCGTTTCTTGCAGCCCTTCTCTGAGGTCCACAGCCCCAGCCCACGCTGCACGAGCCTCTACCCAGAGAGGGAATGAGCATCACCCTGGTGTCTCAAGCCGAGTCTTCTGGCTCAACTCCAGCTCTCTTTCCAACACCTCATGTGCAGCCCCATTTTACAGATGGGGAGACTCAGATCGAGAGCCAGTTCTTAATAGCTCCCCTTCAGGAGCCCTTCTGGCCTGGTGATTCCAGTCCCAAAGATCATATTCCTCTTTGATCAAGCCACAAGAACGTCCTGACCACGTCCTGCGAGCCAGCTCAGCCATGGCAGGAACAAACGCCTAAGACTCAGCCCTCATCTCAAGGAGCTCGCTGCAGGGGCTGAACACCAAACCTCCCAAAGTCTGTGTCAGTAGCAAATTACAGGTGCAGGCTTTATTGACTGGTCAGGATGGGCATTCTGGAGGAGGGGGCACTGAGAACAGATGTCTGTGTACCACGGTTTATCAGGTTGTCATGCGCCAGACTAACGTGATCCACAGCCATTTGGAGCCTCTGGGGCTCAGCAGCATCCCTCTGGAATGGCGCTGCTGAATCCCAAGGACTCTGGTCCTCAGCTTGGCCGTAGCAGAAGTGACCCTGGCTCCCAAGCAGCAGCAGCTTGTGGGGTGTGAGGGTGAGGGTGGGGGACAGAGCCCTGCCTGAGGTCCCAGCTCTGTGACTCTGAGCAAGTCCCTTTCTCTCTCGGGACCTCGGCTTAGTCACCTGCCAGATGAGAGGGCTGGGGATGCTCCCAAAGGTCCTTCCAAGGCTAACTTATGTGATCCCACTTTAATGATCTGGCTGCCTCACTACAGTATATGGGGGGGAGAGGGCTCTGGCTCCCGGCTCTCTCTGGCCCTAGTCACCATCATTGTTGTCGCCCCCAATAGCACTGCTGAATCCCTTCTCGTCTGGGTGCCAGGAACATAAAACCTCCCTGGGGTGCTGCGCTTGCCCACGAAGACATTCAGCTCTTCCTTGGGGCCGTGGAAGACAGGCTTTCGGCATGGACCGTCCCCTTTCTTAGTCCCGCTGTTTGTGGCTGACTCTTCCCTCCCCCTCCCTGACCCAGCCACGGTCTCATCGGTGCCACTGACTAAACTGCTTTTGTGACAGACCTGTGCCAAACGCTGTGGCTCAGCCACTGCTGTTGTCATTGTGGCTGCTATGAGAAAAACGGTGAGCCCATCCCAATGTAAAGACAGGACAGAGATGGAGAAAGCAATTCAATTACCAAGACACCCTCAGGCTTGTTTATCTCGTGCCAGGGATGGGGAGCTACACACTTAAAAAAGTCCCTGCCCACGATGGAGCCATAAGGCAGAAACATGTATTAAGTGCCTAATGTGTGCCAGGCACTGTGCAAGTGCCTGGGGATAAAGCACCTCCAAGAACTTGCATTCTTTCAGGGGAGACAGTGCACACAAGTGAGAGAGGAAAGAGGGCACCTGCAGAGTTAGGGGATGTGACATGGGGACTGGGGTGGAGGGTGTCAGACAGGGAGGAGGAGGGGAGCTGAATAAAAAGCATAGCATGGAGACAGCAGCTGGAGGAGAGGACGAGTGGTGGTGGGGGCCGAGGCCAGGCTGGACAAGGGGTGGACGTGTGACTGAGGAGAGGACACGTGGCCAGGGGCCTCAGAGGCCAGGCTGGATGAGGGAAGGACGCCTGGCAAACAGTAGGTGCCCAGGCAGTAAATACAAAATCACTTTAGCCGGCTGGGTAGAGCCTCAAAGTGAGGGGATCAGGAATGGCCTCTTCTAGGAAGTGACACTTGGCTTGAGCCATGATGGAGGGGGGGTTGAAGAGGCCAGGGTAAGGAGGGAGGGTCCTCTGGGCTAGGGGTGGCCTATGCCAACCCCCCAGGAGCTGACAAGGCCCGTCCCGGAGGGGACCCCAAAGAGGCCGGGGTGGCTGAGAGGCAGAGCAGAGGAAGGGAGGGAAGAAGGGAGGGAGGGAGGAGGGAAGGAAAAGAGAGAGGGAGGGAGGGGCGACACGAGTGTGGAATCCACTGGGAATGAGAGGCTGTGAGGGAGGGCCCTATCGCCACCAAGAAACTCCCAAAGGGAGCGTCTGGGGGATGGGGGAAATCCCCCCGTGGCTGAGTGCAGGCTGGCTCCAAAGAAGGGAGTGGAAGCAGGGGAGGGGAGCACAGGAGGGACGGGGGCGGTCCAGGCAGGCCCATGAGGGCTGGTGGTGGGGAGCCGGCGATGGAGGCCAGAGACGCTGGGGCCTGGCAGAGGAGAGGAGGGAAGGATAAGGACCCCAGAATGATGTAGGCCTCTGGGGGTGCACCCCGGTCACCCCAGCAACCACATTTCCACGCAACTCAGTGTTTCGCCGCTGGGAATCAAAGCTGTCTGATAACAGAGCACGTAAACAAGCCCAGAGACCTTAGAACGTCCCCCAGGGCAGTTATCCTGCAGAAAGAACAGCCCACTCCCTCTGTTCCTGGGGAAAATCCCTGCCTCTGACAGACCTGGGGGGCACAGAAGCAGAGGACCTCAGATCCAGGCCTGGCCCCTCCCCTAGCATGCTGTGTCACCTTGGGAGAGTCATTTTCCCTCTCTGAGCCTTGGCCTCTTCAGCTGCTACCTCACAGGTTTGTGAAGCATTCCCACATTACTGAGTAGTTAGCACATAGAACACGCCCAGTGAGGTGCACAGGTGCTTCAGGGGCCCTGGGGATGGTTAGAGCCAGGGTCTGCAGTCAGGAAGGCCCCAGTTCAAATCTGGCCTCAGGTACATCCTAGCTGGGTGATGCTAGCAAGGCACTGACTCCCTGCCTTCCTCATTTTTCCAATTGCAAAATGGAGGTAATAACAGCACCTCCCTTCCAGGGTTGTGAGAATCAGAGATGATGATGTTTGTAAAGTGCTTAGCCCTTGGCACAGAGAAGGACCTTAATAAATCCTTGTTTCCTCACTCTCTTTCTTCCTTCCTTCCTTCCTTTTCCTTCCTTCCTTCCTTCCTTCCTCCCTCTCTCCCTCCCTCCCTCCCTTCCTTCCTTCCTTCCTCCCCCTTCCTTCCTTCCTTCCTTCCTTCCTCCCTTCCTTCCTTCCTTCCTTCCTTCCTTTCCTCCTCCCATCCTTCTCTCCTTCTTTCCTCCCTTCCTTCTCTCCCTCCCTCCCTCCTTTCTTCCCTCATTTCCCTCCCTCCTTCCTTCTTTCCTCTCTTCCTCCCTTCCTCCCTCCCTCCCTTCTTCCTCCCTCCCTCCCTCCCTTCCTCCCTCCCTTCCTTCCTTCCTTCCTTCCTTCCTTCCTTCCTTCCTTCCTTCCTTTCTTTCCTCCTTCCATCCTTCTCTCCTTCTTTCCTCCCTTCCTTCTCTCCCTCCCTTCCTCCTTTCTTCCCTCATTTCCCTCCCTCCTTCCTTCTTTCCTCTCTTCCTTCCTTCCCTTCTTCTTTCCTTCTCTCCCTTCCTCCTTCCCTCCTTCCTGAGATGTTGTGAATTGCCCAGGACCACCCAGCTAGTCTACAGTAGAGCAAGGACAAGAGCCCAGGACTCCTGACTGTCAGCCCTGAACTCTTTCCATCCCACCACACTTCCTGTACAAATGTCTGGGGAAGAAATGGAGACCTGGCCCACACAAAAGCAGCCCTGGCGGACCTCACTGGCCAGCATAGACATGTTGTAACCTCCCTCTCACTGGCCCAGGGAAAGCCTAGTGTTGCCCAAACCAGGGCCTGTCCCTGGACAGGCAGCCTAGGGCCCACAGAGTAAAGAAATGAAATGATATTGGCAGAGGGTTGGCAAGCCGTAAAGCACCACACACATGACTGCACCCCCCCAGGGTTGTTTGGGGAGCACCAGAACCTCTGGGGTGAGGGCTGCTCATCCACCTGTGGTGTCCGCCTGACTCTCACCTGTGGCTCCACGAAGCTGTAACGTGCAGCGGCCACACCCCGGTAAAACTGTCCCAGCAGATGGGCTAAACCACGTTGAGGGCAATCACCAGGCCTCAGATGCATTGGTGGCTTGGGGGTGCCTACCCCAAGCATGTGGAGACATCCCCCAGAATGGGTGGATGAGAACGATTTGTTCCACTGGCTAAGAAAGAGGCGGAAGCAGGCGCTGTGGAGTGCTTAGAGCTCTGTCAGACACTGAAGACGCCAAGGTCACTCACCGCATCCCAGATCACCGCCAGTTGTTCTGACTCTCGTTCTGCCACTGCACTTCAGTGACTCTGGAAGAGAGAGTGGCTGGCAACTTCCCACAGCTCTGCCTTGCTTCAGTCTGATTCATGGCAAGTGAAGACATCACCCACAAGGTCACTGGTCCTCTTCAGAAATAAAAAGTGATTGTTATTATGAGCCATCAGTGAGTATTTGGGAAACCCCAGGGAGTGGCCAAGGATGGGGACACAGACATGAGGGAGAGTCCCTGCTCAGACAGGACAGAGGGAGAGGTGATGGGCCACATATATGCACTCACACACTCACACACATGTGTACATACCAACAGCACATATGTGTACATGTACAACACACATACATAGATAGCACACAATATGCATTCACATAAGACATGCACACACACAGAAACATTCACATTCACACACACACGCACACAACATACCTGTGCATGCACACACATACATACACATATACTTTGGGTTTTATATCTCCAGTGCCCAGCATAGTACCCAGCACACAGTAGGAGCTTAATAAGTGATTACTAACTGATGATGAGGCAGCCAAGCAGGATTTTGGTGGAAGGTTAAAATCAAGATAAGGGCATCTTTATAGCAACGCTTGTTGTTCTGACCTGAGGTCAGCAGGACAAAAGCAGAAAACTATCCTACTGCAAATAATTAATCGGGCACAGAAGTCCCTGCTATGCCAGGTCTGAAGGCCCGTGTGCTTTCCCCTATTGGTGTCTGCCCTGCTCCCAGCTGTGCCTGGGCATGAATCTACCACAATTTCCCTGAGAAGTGGACTATTGGGGTTGGAGGGGTCCAAGGACAGGGAACTCAGGACGTTCTGGGTGGTCCAGTGCACTTTGGACAAACCCAATTGGTCAGCCACTTCTCTTCTCTGAGGTCAGAGGCTGCCTCTCCAGAGCTTCCCTCTGTGCCTCCTCCTTCTAAGCTCCCTGGAAGCCTTCAAGAGGCCAGGAGGCTCAGTGGAAGTGATGGCTTCTGAGCCAGGAGACACGGCTCAATCCCTAACTCTGCTGTTAGGATCTGCATGACTTTGAAGGGTCGCTTCAGCCCTCTGGGCTTCTTTCCTTCTCTGCAGATGAAGAGGCTTGGAGTAGATGGTCTAAGGTCCCCTCCAACTGAAAATCTTCGATTCTTCTCTTCCGACTTCTCCTGGCAGGACTCTGAGGATGACTCTTTTCCATGAGGGTCACTGGGGACGTGAGTATTAGGCAGGTTATTCTTCACTTGGTCTAGAAAGGGTGCTGAATTTGGAGTCAGCACACCAGAGTTTGAATACTGACTGTAATTTACTAGCTCTGAGAACCCTCAGTGGCCAATCCACTGGCCTTTTCTCCATCCTCATTTTCCCTGGCCTTTCTGCAGTCTCTGACACTGTTGGTCACTCTCTCTTCCTCTATGCTCTCTTTTCTCTGGGCTTTTCCCCCGCACCCCCACCCAGTTCTCCTCCTCCCTCTCTGACCACTCCTTCTCTGATTCCTTTGCTGGATCTTCCTCCAGATCACACCCTTTACCCTCAGATGTCCCTCAGGACCCTGTCCCAGGACCTCTCCTCCCCTCTCCTCTCCTCTCCTCTCCTCTCCTCTCCTCTCCTCTCCTCTCCTCTCCTCTCCTCTCCTCTCCTCTCCTCTATTCTTTTCTCTTCTCTCCTCCTCTTTTGTCTTCTCTTCTCTTCTCTTCTCTTCTCTTCTCTTCTCTTCTCTTCTCTTCTCTTCTCTTCTCTTCTCTTCTCTTCTCTTCTCTCTCTCTTCTTTCCTCTTCTCTTCTCTCTTCTCCTCTCTTCTCCTCTCTTCTCCTCTCTTCTCCTCTCTCTCTCTTCCTCTCTTCTCCTCTTTCTCTCTCTCTTCTCTTCTCTTCTCTTCTCTTCTCTTCTCTTCTCTTCTTTCTATCCTCCTCTTCTCTTCTCCCTCTATACCATTTCACTTGGTGATATAATCAGCTCCCATGGATTTAACGACCCTCTCTGGGCTGATGATTCTCTGCCTTTCCTGCCCCAATCTCTCTGCTGACCTCCAATCTCTCATCTCTGATGTTCTTTCAGACATCTCAAACTGGATGTCCAGTAGACATCTTAGACTCAATATGGGCAAAACAGAACTCATGATCTTTCCCCCTATGCCCTGGAACCTGCCCTATGATTGGGGAGAGCACCACCCTCTCCCCAGCCTCCCAGGCTCCCAATGTAGGAGTCATCCTGGGCTCCTCCCTCTCTCTCGCCCCCCCCATATCCAATATGGTGCCAAGGCCTGTCAATTCCACCTTTGTTGTGTCTCCCCAAACCCTCTTCCCTCCCTTGCTCTCCTTTGACCCTCATCATCTGTAGAGGGCTTGTCTGATGAGTTTGAGGATTTAGGCCAGGCCGGGTTTTACCTGTTGCCTGTCCTCTGTCCCAGGGCTGCCTAAGTCAGATACATAGGCTCTCCAACCTCCCTCCCCCCTTGCTATGTCTCTCTCTTGAGAAGAGAAGGACCTTGAAGATAACCAGGAGGCAAGGAAACTGTTCAGGGGGGACTCCCCCTAGTTACTGTTCCCATAAGAAAAATAATTGTTGATACTTTTTTTTTAGGCAGTTGGGGTTAAGTGACTTGCCCAGGGTCACACAGCTAGTAAGTGTCAAGTGTTTGGTCTGAGGCTGGATTTGAAGTCAGGTACTCCTGACTTCAGGGTCAGTGCTCTATCCACTGCACCACCTAGCTGCCCCACAATTGTTGATACTTTTGCCTTTGCTATGCTGGGTTCTGTTTCCCATGAATGAGGTATAAAACCCTTAGCCCTCAGATCAATAAATGGAACCGTTTCTCTACCTGTTACCCACCTGGCCCATGTGTCTTTCTCACTCTCATACTTGACCGGAAAATAAACACAGTCGCGGACTCAGGTGGCGCCCAACTTGGGGCATGGGAGCCTGAAACAGTGGTTTCCCCCGGTGAGTAGCCGTGGAGCAAGGTGGGCTGTCTGGCCATCAGCCCTAACAAGGAGCGCTCCACCTGCCTGAAATAAGATGGTAAACAGGTCTCCGGGAAGCAGACAATTCCTGCCGTTTGAAAAAAGACAGCAAATGAGGTCAGGGTGATAATTTCTTCTTATGTGGTTTTACTTCACCTCATTAGCAGGATAGTAGATATAGATCAGTGTGTGTGTTTTATTTTCATTTTGAATCAAAATACTTTGCTAGATTCGGTTTACAGTGAAAGTGAAGTTATATGGGCTGAATAGGCATATAAGAAAATATAACCAGCAGAAAAGACAGACAATATAATTTAAAAGACAATATAAGCAGTTGAGATGGGGCAAGGCTCATCAGCAGAGCAAAGAAATAGAGAATATTATTTACAAGTATTAAAATCATTAATAAAAGGCAGGGGTTTATTGATCACTTCTGGACAACTGGTTGAATTTTTAGATACAGTGGAACAATGTTGTCCTTGGTTTCCCAAAGAAGGGATGATAGATATAGAAAAATGGGAAACAGTAGGTAAACAATTAAGTGAATATTATCAAGAATGCGGACCTGGTGCTTTTCCACTGTCCACTTTCTCAATTTGGAACATACTTAAAATATGTCTTCAAAAACCAGAAGAGGTGACTTTAGCCACAAAAGTAATTAAGGTAGAAGCTTCTTCTGGCACCACACAGGATGAAAATGAGTGTCACTCTACTACAGACAGAAATAGCAAGCCACATTTGGGAAATGCCTCCCGAAGTCTGCTGTAGCCCCAACAAACAATGGGAGCAGTGGTAGCCGTAATTCCTCCAGTTCAAAGGCCAACCCAGCCACAACAAAAGAATTGTGTCACATTACTAAAGGTAGTACAGATCTTGATCTCCCTACTGCATGTTCCTACACTATAACTATCTCAAGAAAACTCAGTCTTTAAAACCTTAAAGATTCTTGCCTGGTCTCCATAAAAATCAGGAGAACCATGAAAAAATAAATTGTGTGATTTGTGCAGGGGATTTCTGACAAGTCTCTCTGAGCTTTTGGACTCTCCCTGTCATTTTGTTCTGTGTTTGTCTGTGTGGGTATGAATGATTGTCTGTGATTGTATTTAATGTGTGTAATCTGAAACCTTTTGCAGCTAGCTAGCTTTCTCCCCTTCCCCCCTCCCTAATATGAGCCACCTCCTGGGAGCGGGTGGATGGGGGAGAGAAGGAGAGAAAAAAAAATTTATTATTTAGGTAAAAGGCAAGAAAGTTTAAGCACACAGGAAGGACAGAAGTAAAAGTAGTAAGAAAAGCATAATCTGTTTGTATAAACAACATGAACAGAGGCTTTGAGAGTAAGAGATTTGGAAACTTTTGGAGAATTGTTAGGAAGAAATTCTCTTTCTTTTTGCATTCTGAGCTCTGGCCAAAGCTTTGGATGTAAAATTCAAAGATTATCAAAGATAAGTTGTTGGAAAATATTCTCTTCCTTTCTCTCGCATTCCAACCTTGGCCAAGTTGGGGTGTGGGAGAAAGAACGAGAAAATAAAAAGAAAGGAGGGTGAATTTTCCCCCTCAGATCAAAAGAAAAAAGTTTTTATAGATTGGAACACAACCAAAAGATAATTTAGTTCATTCAAATTAGTAATGTGTTTGTTTCAAGTTTTAAACATCTAGTATTGTTATGTCAAGCAATTTTTAATAATTTGGATGTTATTAAAATGCGAACTAAAAGAGACTAAAAGATAGTGGGAAGATGTGTAAAACCATCTAAATTATTTTATCAAGTCTGGTTTTATAATATTTTCTAACTGTCAATTAGAAAATCAGGTATTCCCATCTTTACCTTTGATTAAAGACCAGCTTAGAACTAAAACAATTTAACTATCACTTATGAAAATTACCAAACTGTTAACTAAGTTATTTGAAGTTACTGTTTTAAAGTTAAAACCTAGAATTTATAATTACTTATGAATGAAAAGGAGGGGCACAAGGCAATCCCCTTTACTTTGTAAGCTTGCCAAGGCTCCTAGCAACCAGCTGTGTGGGCAAGGTCATCTGCCCTGAGAGAACTTGGTTGTGTTATCGGGTTCCTATACAATTAATCTGGCTTGTTGAGAAGTTGCAACTTTATGAAATGATTTCTAATAATTGGCTTTTTTACTAGAACAAGTTTAAATTTGAGAAAAAATTGATGCTAAGTGAAATCTCTTATGTATGTGAGTCCTAGTAAATCTTTATTACTTACTACAACTCCATGAGAATAAAAATTGACTGTATCTGGCTTTAAGCCGCAATTAGTGAAATTTACTGTTTGAGGTAAAAGACTCTTAGGACTATAATTAATTTTGTTTTGAGTTTGAACTTGGGTATAGTTGTCTCCATGAAATCAGTATTTGAAGCTTTCCTATTATGTTCCTTTAAGAAGGAATGGTTCTCACTATGTGCCAAAATTTTGTTCCTAACACTGTCAAACCTGTTAGGCAGAAATATTCTCAGCCAAAAATAATTTATTATATGGATGATAAACTTTGTAGTTTTTCTACTACTAGAAACTCTCCTTATTAATGCCTGAGCTTTAACAAGCCTTTCAGTCTCATAAATTTATAACTGCCCCTGAAAAGAGACTTTGCTTACTTTAGGCATATTGTTCTACAATCTACAATTAGACCCCCAAAATATTACAAATTAGTCAAGATTCCTTAAAAACTTTTAATAATTTTAGAAAGACTTTTAAAATACATTAATTAGTGTTAGCCTGACTAATAGATCACCACTAATCAATTCTTTTAAGATGAATTTAAATTAGTAGAATAAAAGATAGTTGAAACTTAATTAATTCCCCTTAATCTGTGGGGTGTAATATTTTACATTTAATGAGAGCTATTATTTTCTCCCGCCCACTGTTTGTGCTTCTCCTATCCATAAAGTGGAATAAACCTGTTTGGGTTTCTTAAAATTCACCTGTTTTTATTATTAAAAAGAGGTCAATAAAATTGATGACGCTTCATGACCTCCTACCCTTTGATAGTTAATTACTATAGAACAATGGGCTAATCTCTTTTTCACACTTAGAGGAGATCCTAATCTAAATTCCCCTAGGACATTAACTCCTGAGGCAAAAAAGGAGCTTTAATTAGTCCTACAGAAAAATTCCTAAAACTCAACTCACCCATATTTCTTTAAATGAAGAGGTACCAGGCGCTATTCTTAGTACTCCAGTGTCCCCTACAATCTTCAATTTATAGGAAATTTACTTTTTGTTATTCATCAACCTTATAATAAAAACCAAATAGACGCTCTTGTTTCCTCTTCAGAGGATTGGCAAAATGCTATCACTATTTTTTCTAGTCATATTGATAATCACTTACCATCTCTTAAGATATTAACCTTTTTTTTTAACTAATTACTCAAAGGTATTTCAACAAATTGTTAAATTTAACCCCATTCCTTCAGTACTCACTGCATTCACCGATGCGTTAAATACAGATATAACAGGATTTTACTGAGCCTATTAATGTTGTTTCTAATAACAAATAATCTATTTATGTCTCTCAAAATATAGAGACTGCAAAGTTAAAATATATTCCTAATACACAATTTTATACTCTTTTTCAACAACTTCAAACCTCACTTCATTCATGTTATTATCTTATCTATATTACCTCCATACAAGTACATTTTAATTTGTCCGGACCTCTTATTGTTCCCATGAGAAAAATAATTGTTGATACTTTTGGCTTTGCTACCCTGGGTTCTGTTTCCCATGAATGAGGTATAAAAACCCTAGCCCTCAGATCAATAAACAGAACCGGTTCTCTACCTGTTACCCACCTGGCCCGAGTGTCTTTCTCTCTCTCATACTTGACCAGAAAATAAACACAGTCACAGACTCAGGCGTCTGAGACAATCATCTCACACCTGGACTATGGCAGTATGCTGAGGCTGGGGCTCTGCCTGCCCCAAGTCCCTCCTCACTCCCTCTTCATCCTCCATTCAGCCAGTAAAGTGATTATCCTGCAGCTCAGGTCTGAGCATGTCGCCCCTGCTCAAGAAGCTCCAGTGGCTGCCTATCGCCTCCAGGACCAAATACAAAACCCCAGTTTGGCTTTTGCCCTTCATGACCTGTCCTTCATGACCTGCCCTCCATGCCCTTCATGACCTGCCCCCTTGCCCTTCATGACCTGCCTCCCTGCCCTTCATGACCTGCCCCCCTGCCCTTCATGGCCTGTCCCCACGCCCTTCATGACCTGCTCCCAGTCCTGCATCTTTCCAGTCTTCTTACACATCATACCCCTTCACATGCTTTGTAGTCCAGCATCCTTGGTGTCTTGGCTGTTCCTTGAACAAAGCATCCTATCTGCCAGCTCTGGGCATTTTCTCCGGCTCTGTCCCCTGTGCCTGGAACGCTCACTCTCCTTCCTCATCTCTGCCTCTTGGCTTCCCTGGCTTCCTTTGAGTCCAATCTAACATCCCCCTCTCCAGGAAGCCTTCTCTGTCCCCTTTACAGCTGCTGGGGCCTCCCTGGCCATTACTCCTTGTCTGGTCCATATCTGTTTGTCCAGGGTTGTCTCCCACTAGACTGTGAACTCCTTGAGGGCAGGGGCTGGCTTTTCCTCTACTTTGTATTCCCAGTGCCTGGAGCATTTGTGGACTGAATTTCTCCTCCCTTCTTCAGTTCCCTCCTGTTGGTAGTATGGGTCCTCTTCTGCACAATGAATGCATTTTCTACCTACCCTGTGGTTGTGCTGGTGGGCTGTTGTAGGGAGCCCTTGGGGGCATAGGAAGGCCATGCCTTGGCTGCCCACCCCTGCAAGGAGCTACAACTTCAGAGCATTCCTGCGGGGTATCGAGTTTGCCACTGATCACGGAATAGTCAGTGTCAGCCTGGCAGCCAGGACAGTGGAGAGAATGTGGGAGACCTGGGGGTCAAATCCAGCCTCTGGGGGATTGTGAGTGACCTCCTTTAGCTCTCAGAGCCTCGGTACTTCCCCAGCCAGCAGGCCATAGATAGGCGCTGTCTGGGGCCAGAATATCCCAGGCCCTGCCCCTCAATGCCCAAGGGAGATTCACAAACAGGTGGAGCCAGGCTGATGTGAGCGGCTTCTCCAAAGGAAGCAGTTACCAATCTCTGGGCCACTTTGCTGCCCCAGCCAGCCAGTCCTGTATTCTGGTGGATGGAAACCAGAGAGTGCAGGATTTGGGCTGGGGTCAAGAAGACAAGTTCCAGGCCACCTCTTCTAGCTGTCCCAGCAGGAAGCATCTAACCTCCACTGAGTCTCCAAACAGCTTGGCTGTACCTCTCCTGGGCAGGTAACACAGCCCATGTCTTATCGCTGCTACTCACCAGTGGGGAGTGTGGAGGAATGAGCCCAGAGCCTGAGATCAGAAGAGTGTGTGATTCCCCTCTCTGGGTCTGGCTCCTTCCCAAATCTGGCAGTTGGCCCACATCATTTCAAAGGCTCCCTGGGGCTCTAAAATCCCGTGATGTCTCAGGGCAGGGACCGGGCATAGACAACCCCTCAAGACCCAGAAGGGGGCCTTACACGTAGCAGGGAATGCACCATTGCAAAGCCCAGTTGGCTCCAGGCACTCCAAGCCCAGTGCAAACGGGGATGGATCTGCTCCAGATTCTTGGCTGGGTGCTATGAGCCCAGAGCTGACCTGTTCCCCAATCAACCCCTTCTCTCCAAGGGCCTGTGACCTGTTCCCTCTGAAGAGGACATCAGCCCCATTGCTCAATTCTCAGGGTCACTGCCTGTAAGTGCTTTGCAGATTGATAAGAGGGCCCAGGATCTAAGAGGCACCAACCCTGGCTGGCAGCCACATGCCTCTGGATGCTTTCAGAAGGAAAAATGGAAGCTTCTTTGTTTCCCCAATAGAAATTCCAGTTCTCTTTCTTCAAGGCAGGCAAGTGGAAAGAACAATAAACCCGAAGTCACCAAGAACCAGGTCCTCATCCCAGCTCGGCCATCAGCTCATTACATGTCTTGCCCTCTCTTGGCCTCAGTCTCCCCCTCTGTAAAATAAGGCAGGTCAGGCAGGGTAGCACCATGTCAAAGATCCTTTGTAGGTCTAATATTCTATGGGTCTGTGGATGGGGAAGGAGCTGGGACAGTTCCCAAGCTAAGGCACAGAGGGGGCATCAAACTTAAGAGAAGATGAATCTATCTTTTCCTTCCTCAATGTGGCTCCAGGTTTTTAGCCTTCCCATGACCATTTCTGAGTGTTGTTAGAAATGAAAAGTCTGACAAATAGGAGGAAGACTGGGATGGAGTGAAATGCGCAGATAGTAATCACAATGGTGAACGTGAATGGGATGAATTCTCTCATAAAACAGAAGTGGATAGCAGAGTGGGTCAGAAACCAGTATCCTACGATACGTAGCTTACAAGAAACACACTTGAAGTAGAGACACATACAGAGTAAAGGAAAACCTGGAAAGACTTGCATGAACTGATGCAAAGTGAAATGAGCAAGACCAGGAAAGCATTGTACACAGTATCAACAACATCATGTGATGATCAACTATGGATGACTCAGCTCTTCTCAGAAACACAATGATCCAAGACAAGTACAAAAGATTTTTGAAGGAAAATGCCATCCATGTCCAGATAAAGAACTGATGGCCTCTGAATGCCAATTGAAGCATATTTTTTTTTCACTTTATCCTTTCTCATGGTTTTTTTTTTCATTTTTGATGTATTTCTTCTTCCACAACTGTGATGGACATGGAAATATGTTTTATATAATAGTATATGTATAAACTGTATTGGGGGAAGGAAGGAGATTTGGAACTCAAAATCTTGTAAAAATGAATGCTAAAATTTTCTTGATTTGGAATTATGGGTAAAAATAAAATGGTATTTAAAAGCAAAATAAATTAATTTTTAAGAAAGCATAAAAAAAGTCCAAGAGACAGAATTTCTGGGTAATTAATGATTAATTTATTAACCGTGGTGAGCAAATAATCAATAAATTGAGGTCAGTGGTTTCTCTCAGCAATCAAAGATGCCCCCTGGAGGATATTGAATGCTTAAAAGCCTTTGGAAAAGGGGGTGTCCCTGAGGGTCAAAATCAACTATGATTGGTTAACAATCAATCAGGGGGAAGACATGTTAATGAAGAGGTGGGCAAAAAGTCTTCAGCTCCACCTGCTGAGAACTAGGCCTAATCACGAGACTCAGGCAAAAGAATCCACCTCTACCCAGACCTTGCTGTTTGGCTTTCTCCTTCATAGAAGGGGTCACTCTAAATTCTAATGGAAGGTTCCAAGGACAAGGGCTTATTTCCTAAGGGCAAGAACTCACCTCCACTGGATTCTGTTTGTAAGGGCTTCCAGTTGGGTAGGGTCCCAGCCAAGATCAATCAACTTGTACCCAGAGGATTTGGGCAAACTCATCTGTCAACAATGTTCTTCAGAGACCAGCTGAATAACCTACAGGGGCTGGTTTCTGAATGAGGAAATAGGAAGGGAAAACCTGGAGCCTAATTTAATCATTGGTTATTAATATAAGAGGAAAACAATCATTTCTCTTAGTGTTGTTGTTTTTCAAAACCCATCCTTAGAAACATCTTCATTTTCCCAGCCCCAGCTGACAAGCTGATCATCCAATTGGGCTAAATGCCTGATTTTGTGGGTGGCTCTGGCACATACATGAGCAGAGTGAGGCATGATCTCCCAGTTGTGATTGACCCAGCCCTTGAGATCTTGTGCCACACCCAGTGAATACTTCATGAATGCGTTGGTCCATGAATCAGTCCTCTCATCACAGAGTTTATGACACCCCACCCCTCCACCAAGAATCCTGACAATGAACCCCTCACGGGCCAGTCATCCTAAAGGAGCCCAAGGGAACTAGGCACAGCAAGGCAACAGTCTTTGACCTGCAAGCTGACTCTCCTCCATGTTTACTTCAATTATCTGGATGTTTTGGTGAGCAGAGCCTGGTGAGCTGGTTAATTGTTTTAGTTCCAGAGATAGACAGACAGGATAGAGAGAGAGAGAGAGACAGAGAGACAGAGACAGAAGAAAGAGAGAGAGAGACAGACAGAGACAGACACAGAGAGAGAGAAAGTGAGAGGGAAAGGGGGACTGGATGAAAAGGTAGACACAGAGACAATATTTATTAAGTATTTACTATGTGCTGGGTGCTGGGTTAAGTGCTGGAGAGACAAATCAAAGCCAACAAGGTGGTTCCATGTCTCCAGAGGTTTACACTCTAAGAGTTCCGTAAGACAATACACACGAGGTATGGAAAAAGGAGGAGAGGGACTTGATGGAGGCAAGGCTGTGGGTGAGGAGGTGAGCTGAGCCTGGGTGAAGTGAGCATGGTGGGGGCTCCTTGCAAAGACTGAGTGAAGATGGGAAGAGGCTGGAGCTGGCTCTCTGTGCTCTCTGGAAATGAGACCTGATGCTTTTCCACCCTCCTTCTCATTCTCTTAAAATTCTCTAAGGAACCAAGAAATACATCCTTCCACTCGCTCCCCAAGTGCCCTGCCCTGGTCACCAGTAACAATGGGGCACCTTTTCAACTTGATCCGCAGCACTTATTGGGTTCCTGCTTTTGTGGAGGGTCTGCTGCTCAGCCAGCAAGGGGCCCCTCAGCCCCTCTCAGGGCTGCACAATCTCTTCTGCATGAATTGATTGTCTGACTTCCCTGGGCTCACTCTTCAATGGGCAGCTGAGGGCATTTCCATCTCTAGCCACTGGCCTGTCTGGACAATACAAGGCTCTCTCCAAGTGGAGCATTAGAAGGAGCAATGACCCCTCCCTCTAACCCTAGATGTGTCTCAGAATTCTGTCCTGGGCCCTCTGCTCTTCTTCCTCTAGACTAGTTCCCTTGGTGACCTCATCAACTCCCAAGGATTTAATGACCCTCTCCATGCTGATAATTCTCAGATCTACCTTTCCTGCCCCAAACTCTATTAAACTCCAATCTCTCATCTTCAACTGCCTTTTAGATGTCTCAAACTGGATATCCTATAGACATCTTAAAATCAATATGTCTAAAAAATTAGCTCATTTCTCCCCTTAAACTCTCCCCTCTCTACCCCAACCTTCTCTATGACTGTCTAGACTCTAAAAGCGGTGGGGAACCTGAAGCTTCGAGGCCACATGTGGTTCTCTAGGACCTCAAGTGCAGCAGATTTGTTCTGTGAAGTCTGGATTCAGTCAAAGGGCTGAGCTTGAGGACCTGGAGGGCCACATGTGGGGACCACATGTGATCTTGAGGTCACAGGTTCCCCACCTCTGGTAGAGCACCCCTCCTCCCAGTCCCTCAGGCTCCCAACCTAGGAGTCTTCCTGGATTCCCCCCTATCTGTCACCCTCTAGATCCAACATGGCAGCCAAGGCCTGTCAATTTCACCTTTGTACTGTCCGACACATGACCCACTCTAGTTCAGGCCCCTATCACCTCTCACCTGGAAATCTGCCATAGCTGCTGGAGGGTCTGCCTGGTTCGAGTCTCTCCCCACTCCATGCCATCTCCACACCAAGCGATCTTCCTAAAGTGCCTGTTTGATCATGTCAACCCTTCTCCCACCAACTCAATAAACTCCAGTGGCTCCCTGTTACACCCAGGGTCAAATACAAGGTGCTCTGTTTTGGCATTCAAACACAACCTGGTCCCTCCTATCTTCCCAGCCTTCTTAACACCTTACTCGCCTATACTTCCATCCAGTGACCCTGGCCTTCTGGCTGTTCATTGAACAAGACCTTCCATCCTGTCTCCTACAGGAAGGCTTCCCAATCCCTCTTCATTCCAGTGCCTTCCCTTTGTTAATGAAGTCCTATGTATCCTCTCTAGAGGATACTTTGTAGTTTATATTTACTTTGTGTATATTGGTGTGCATGTCTCCTTCTCCATTAGCTTGTAAGCTCCTTGAAGGCAGGGAATGTCTTCTGGTTTGTTTTCTTTATTTTTTATTCCTGGTAGTTAGCACAGTGCTTGGCACCCACCAGATAATTAATGTTTATTGATAAATTGATTGGCCAAAGCCCCTTCCCTCTAATTCCCTCCAAAGTCTCTGATAAGCAGGAGATGGGAGCTGTCTGGCTCCCCTATATGATAATCCTTTCTGCCTCAAAAACCCTTCCCTTAGTCAGCCACTCCATCCTGTCTTAAAATAGGGCTCTTACCTTGGCTTCTGTGAACTCTTTTAAAAAAATATATATTTTGGTAATCATATTTTAAAAAATGGTTTCCTTTGTAATCCTATATTATTTTATATATTTTGAAATTTCTTCCCCTGTTAGATTATAAACTCCTTTTTCTTATTTTCATCTTTAGAGCTTAGCACAGTGCCTAGCATATAGTAGGTGCTTAATAAATTTTTGTTGAATTGAACTCAGAAACATGATTCGAAGAAAGGGTCTTCACCACACTGACTAACGAAGCATCAAGACAGAGAGAGGACAAAGAGCCCCAAACTCTGGTGGATCTGCTTCAATTCAACCTCCCAGAATCCTTTGGGAATTGTAAGTAGATCCCTGGCTCTGGAGGAAGGTGTGAATGCTATCTGCCCCACCCACACCCCGAACAAATGGTCTATTTTACATCTGAAGGATTTTCCCTTCCACTTCAGTGTCATTGTCTTTTAGCTCATCTTCCTGAGTAATTGCCTCAGACAATACTAATGTGCATGACCCTGGGCAAGTCACTTAACCCTGTTTGCCTCAGTTTC